ATATGTATCAAATATATTGATTACATATATAATAACAATAACTCCAGACATTATAATACAACTATTCGCATCAAATTAATAATTTAAAAAAATATATATATATACTTCCTCTACAGACTCTTACTGCATACATCTTTAATACAGTAAAGAATACAGGGTACACAGGCAATACCCGGCTGCAAAACGACTCGAGCCAGTGCATTGCACTGTCAGTAAGGTGGGGGGCCCTAAAGTAGACCACAATATGACAAGAGTTAATTGCAAAAAATTAAATGCGATAACTGCAAGTCCGCAGAGTCAATCGAAGCGAGCGCAGACCCTGAACTATTCAATTGGCAAAGCCGCCGACCGAGCGAATAGGCAACTGCTGCGATTGCTCTGGGTGCGATAGCGTACAGCCTCCGAGATCAGTTGCTCAAGGCACACGCAGCTGTTGGGTTATCTCTGGCGAGCGCTGTCTAGCTAGCTATCGACATGGAGAGATTCTACTGGCGCAACAAGGTGGCTGTCATCACCGGCGCCTCGGTGGGCATCGGTGCCAGCACGGCGCTCACTCTGGCCAATGCTGGCATGGTTGTGGTGGGCCTGGCCAGGCGCGTCGAGCTGATCGAGGTTAGAGTGTTCAGTTTGCAGTTGTTTCAACTTTAACTTTAACTGGACAGCTGACATTGCAGGCTCTCAACGCTCAAGTGACTGGCGAGGGCAAAATCTTTGCGCGTCAATGCGATCTCAGCGATGATGAGCAGCTGATCAGCACCTTCAACTGGATACGCGAGCGTTTCTATTGCATACATGTGCTCGTCTGCAATGCGGGCATACTCAAGGCAAATTTTTTGAGTGGTAAATCCGGTCCGATTGTGAGCTTAATATGCAAAAAAACTACAATATCCTTAACCCCTAGAATCAGCAACCAAGGACATTAAGGAACTATTCGATTTGAATGTGGTCGCCACCGCGAGCTGTTTGCGCGAAACACTGAAGCATATGGCTGCAACAAAGGTGCGCTGCCACATTATCGTTATAAACAGGTAATTTGAAAGCCAACCATAATAATAATTTTTTAACTTTTTATCAACAAAATTCCCACGACTCAACAAATATTGCTGAATATAACTAACATTCAACATGAGAGTTGATTTTGATTTACAAAAGCAACACTTCACTTATTAGTGTTGTAAAATACGCATTATCTTTGCGAAGATTTTAAAAACATATATTTTCCAATACCATCAACTTTTACGATATGTTGAGCTCTGCTTCCGATAAATAATTGAAATCATCCAGTGTTGTTCAACACTCGTTATTTCAACATTTAAAAATGTAGATTTTTAAGATTTATATCGTTAACTCCTCTTTCTGTTAACTTTCCGAAACAATTTTATTAATTTGGAATATTCTTCAATAATTAAAATGTCTAATGTTACTGAATATTGTTTGGCTAGAATTGTCTGCTATTAGCTTGTCAGTTTGGTTCGATAATTAAATAGGACACACGTTAGGCATGCCGCTAAGTCACAAAACCAATACACTCGACTGCAAATGACAACAAATTTGCATTCAAATTGCCTGATTGCACTACAGCATTAGCACAATTATCGCTTAGCATAGTTTGAGGGGACGAGAGTCTGTTTTCGTTTTGTAAATGAAGTTTGTCCAGCTAAAATAGCAAAATGAATCTAAGGCTTAAATTGTTGGTCATGCATCATCACAATGCACTTACGCACACTGCAACACACTAACACACGCACACACACACACACACACACACACACACACCCATACGCAGTTCGCACTTGTATTTGCTTTATAGAAGTTGCTTGCAATGGACAAACAACTGACCAAAGTTGCCTTGAGTGCCAAAGCATTTGCCAAAATTATGTCCATATTTAGTGAATTGTGTATGTGTGTGCATGTGAGTGCGTGTCTAGGGGGCTAATGAAAGTGCAAATAGTGCGATTGTGCAGCCAGCATTGGCCAGTGTTGGGCAGCGCATGCATTTTTCATGAGCTGCGCAACGGCATTGTGTGGAGACGAGACGATTGCGCGTTATTTAAATTAAATTAAAAGCCATGGCACAAACATGCAAACATTTATTGATATTTAAATGTTGCGATTCCCGCAATTACTGTTCTGTTCCGTTGTTGCTGCTGTTGTTGTTGTTGCTGTTGTTGTTGTTGTTGTTGATGCTGCTTTGCGGTTGCTCTGTGCATTAAAAGCTTTGCATTTGCAACGCCATGGCGAAAGTGTTTCCGCAAATATCAGCAACAACAACAACTCAATTATTCAACATAATTAAGTATTTTGCATTAAGCAGCCTGCATATAAATGTGCAGTCGTCTGTGTGTGTGCGGGTGTGTGGGCGTGTGTCTTTGTGTTTGCATTTGTGTATGTCTGCTGATTTTTATTTCATGAATTCCAATGCGCAACGCATTTAAAATCAAAATTAAGCCGCGTCGTTTGATGCGCGCTTTGGCTTTAAATTAAAATTGAATTGATTTCGTTTTAATGGAACTTACTTAAAAAGGCACACACATTCGCTTAAACAGGTTTCAACAATTAGCATTGTAAACAATTTGATATAATTTATATACATAACTGCGCATACGCACTGTGCGCCAGACTTATGCCAGATTCAACATTTGGTCAAGCTAGGCAATCAAAATCAATTGCAAATTATTGAATATTGGTCAAATCAATCAGCAGGCATCTCAATACTGCCACAGGCTTAAAAAGTCAGGGCTTGCTCGGCTCCAGGCAGAGTCTTCTTCATAAGTAGAGCACTCCGTTATCATTCATAATTATTTTATTTATAAATGTAAATGTATATTTTTTGCCTGGCCGTTGGCACATGCTTGCGAATGAACTTAAATTGCTGTCCCCAGGCGCGGTGAACAATTTGCTTTTTTAATGAGCAAAGAAAAAGGCATTCGCATATATTGGAATGCCCGCCGTAATCAAATACAATTGAGCAACAGCGTGCGCAGTGCAACAAAAGAAAACTCACAAGCTTCAACGTTAATTAATGAGAAAATTGATATAATGTGAATGCTGTTGAAAAAAAAAAAACACCAAATTAATAAACCAAAAAGAAAGGATTCTCTTTGGCACGCGGAAGATTGAATGCTCTTGAAGAAACTCTTTTACACAAAAGCCTGATGTCCGACCGATTGTTCCTACAAACGTCATATGATATAGTAGTACGATTTGACAATGTTTGACAGATATCTTAAAAATACAAATTTTTGTACTGATTTTTCTAAAGAGACGTATGACAAAGTTGTAAAGTTTTTGCTTACATGTAAGAAGCATTGTGAAACTCGTTTCAAACTTGGTCAGGCAGCAAATTTTCATAAAATATCTTAATTTACGCCTGACTATGCAACTCGGTGAACTTCGACATGTGCACTAAGAAACTAGTTTTTCTAAAAATATGACCGACGTCTGTTAATACTAATTAGGAATCTGCATAAACATAAACACACTATGTTGTCGAAAAAGTCACCATCTGTGGTGACAAAATAATTATACCCCCAGCTAGGGTATAATCAGTGAAAACAGCGACAAAAGGCGTACGGATGCGCTGGGGCGTTGCTAATGAACGAATGTCGTGGCGGGTTCGGGCTTGTGGGCGTGGCTGTGGGCATGTCCATCAATATGCATTGCGCTTAATGTCAACGCAATAATATTAAGACTTAATTAATTAAAATTGCATGAGGACGCACTGGCCGAGGAGCTGCACCAGTTGGTACCGCTGTTTGCACTTAATGCTGCCTCAGACACTGTTAAATTAAAAGAAGTTTACGCAATGTTTGCATAAAATGCCCAACGACAGCACTCGCCGAATTGAGGTACCGGTGCCGGGTCCATGCACTGCCTGCACAGGCTACCGCCTCTTTCACACGCAGAAATCAACGACAGATGTTGACCATCATTTTTCCCGTGATGGATTCTGCAATCGCCTTTGTTGTTGTTTCAAGCGCTTACACTGGGTAGCAGCGTTGACTTTACTTATTTCTCCATCTCAAACATACTTACTCCATCTCTCTCTCTCTCATGATTGGCGACAGCGTGCTGGGCCATCGCATACCGGAAGTGCCGGTGCCCTTATTCAGCGTTTATCCGGCCACGAAGCATGCAATTACAGCACTTTGCCAGACGGTGCGCCAGGAAATACATTTTCTCAAATTAAATATTAAATTAACGGTAAGTTAAATGCATTGCATACATTGCACCCAAATGGGAGAAGGGTTTGGCGCTTGGCGCCCCGCATGTTGCATGCAAACATATGTGACGCGTCTTCTTTCGCCCGCACAGAGCATCTGCCCCGGCATGGTGGACACCGATTTTCTGAATGTTTACTCACAGGCCGTCGATGAATTGCCCAAACTGCAGGCCGTCGATGTGGCCAAGGCAATTCTATATGCACTCGACACGCCCGATGGAGTCCAGGTGGAGGATATCATTATGCAAAAGATGCGGAAAGTTGAGTGAAGCAGACGTACATCGAAAGCATTTTAAATTTTTTTAAATGTTAAATATAATAAATGGATTTGAAAAAAATTGCATCTTTAACCGAAGTGTACAATAAACTCATTACGATGATATAAAACCTAATAAGAAATTTCGTATATTCTGGGGCCGAAAGAATTATCAATATACAGTCCATTTTGGAAGCAACAATCGCATATATAAAATAGCAGCTCTCCTTATTCGAAAGAAATATTTAAAAAAGCGCGCGCACTTTACCAGTACTGTAAGCCGAATAACATTCTTTGCTCAAGTGCAGCCAACTTTGCTCACTATCGCATCTCTGATATTTATGCATATCGATAAGTAAATTAGTATCGATTGTACTTCAATCGATAGCACATCGATATATAGAAACGCTCTTAAAATTACCAGCAAATAGAGAATATATAGAAAATATCATCTATTATTTTTATATGGCACTGTTATTAGAAGCTTGAGACAGAAATTGGAATTATACCAGCAAATATTTCCTCACTGTCAGAAACAGTCCGATAGCATGTTAATTGTTTTCTTCTTCTTATATGTAACGAACTAGATGAACGACATTCGTTCATTCAGTTTAGTGAGTCGTTCGATTGAACTTATTCCGAACGATTCGATACAACGTGTGCAGAAAAAGTAATAAATAATAATAACTCGTAAATAATAAACGAAAAATGCATTTAATGCACACGCATAGTGTTACATATTATACAGCGATCCATTGTAGTTAGTGCAGCAAAGCGACGCGGCAACGTGCAATCAAAAGACCGAATCCAGAGCCAACTAGAAATGTGTGTCCACGTAGTGCAAAATCAGATTGTCATGTCTGCTGTTTTTATACATATAAACCCAGTCCAATAAGTGGAATGGCGCGAGCGCCAAGGGTGCGGCAAATTGACATGTTTGTAGGGCACACAGAGTATGCCTAGCTCCAAAGTGCAAGATTACGAAATTAAAAAAATTTGATGAAAATTACAAAGTATTATGCGTGTTAACCACGTACATAATACAAATACATGCATACAAAGCCGTAGACGCTAGCACATACAAACTCACACGCATGCAAAGAAAGAAAGTGCTGCCTAGAGCTTGACAAAGAACCTAAACAGGTTTTTAACCTAATTATAATCGGTCAGATATTATTTCCTGAGCGCAATAACATTCAGCGGCAACATTTTTTCATTTTATTTATGTCAAGGCTGCTTGCACTTGGATCCAAAAACCGGACGTTCAGCGTTTGCTATACAATTAGTACTTGACTTTGGTCGCATTTAGGTTACGAACGAGACAGAAAATTGATTATTATTAACAAAAACAGAGCCGCGTTGTGTTTCACTGCAGCTGGACATTGAACTTGCTACGCATATTCTCATTTTCCTTGTCTTGCTTTGTGTTTACCACATTTTCTATTTTTCAGTAAAGCACCGCACTTCCCCCCAACAAACACACACTCAGCCTTTTGCTACTCCCGCAAGAAACCACAGCACAAGCCAAGATGTTCATTTGGGACTGGTTCACGGGTGTTCTCGGATACTTAGGTAAGCGTCTGGGCGAAATGGAATTTGACATTGCTACATGAGCTATTTTCTTGAGCGCTTGCCAACAAATCAGCAGCAGCAACAACAACATCATCAATATCAACAGCAGAAGCAGACAACAAAAGCTAAACGAAATGTTTCAGCTGTATGCGGGTCAATTGTATGCGTGTATTGGTGAAGCTGTTGGTTTTTAATTAATGTCGATTTAGTAAAGTCGGTTTAACCTTAGCATTGGCATTGACTGGCAAACGCTCAAGCTATTTTTTGAATTATATATTAATAATCATTAAAAACCATTCGAAACACCCAGGTCTATGGAAAAAGTCCGGCAAACTATTGTTCCTTGGCTTGGATAATGCTGGTAAGACTACATTATTGCATATGCTCAAAGATGATAAGCTGGCGCAGCATGTGCCAACACTGCATCCAAGTAAGTGTTAAATACAGCTACTTTATTATATGTTACTAAATCGTATTTATTTGCCCTGCTTAGCATCCGAGGAGCTGTCCATCGGCAATATGCGTTTCACTACATTCGACTTGGGTGGACACACTCAGGGTAAGTTAAGCTCGGTTGAAAGACAGAACAATTCAAAAACATTTCAAACATCCAATCATCTAAGACCTTATTAAAATCAAAAATAATGCGCATGTTAAAACGTGCTCTTTGTCTAAATATAGCGCAATGCATATACATAGCACAAAGACAGCACAGAGAAACAACAAAACAATCAGCGTAAAATATAGCACAGGGGGTCACCCATACTAGCAGAAAGCGAAACACGTTGTAATTTTTGCCAGTTGTTGCGTTCACTCTTTCAACAAAAAACAAGAACAACAAATGTCTATAGATATTTATAGATATATCTGCATGTAAGTCATAGTTAATCTGTATTACGACAGAACAGATATGTACCATATAGGAAACTAATTAATACATATGCTTAAAAACATAAATTAAATAAAACCAGACTGCAAGCATTTATAAATAGTTTGGTCTTGGACACAATTTGTCTACTGTGGTTAACAACCACTTGTAATTGTTATTGGCTATACAATAATAATAGCTATGCCCAATTTATTGTACAGTGAAAACTCTACTAACGGACAGTTTTCTTGATCGATCTTAATCCTTGCTTTTACTATTTTGCTAATAGTCAATTGTCAAACTATACGAATTTACAGAAAAGTAAATTGACCCCAGAGAAATCTTAAAATATTCAGCAATTTGTAATAGGAATATAGGAATATTCGCTGTAAATACTAGTAGAATATTCAAAAACTAAAAAACGGCGAAAATTTGTAACAATTCGTATTACTATCAAACTTTAAAACTGTTTCCAACCAGCTCGAAATTCAATTTTCAGTAGAACAGGCAATTTTATCTTACAAATCGAATCTCTTCATTAACATTTTATAATACATGCATATATATAAAAAAAAAAGGTTTGAACCTCGACAATTTTTTGGTAGCTTACAACACCGGTTTCTTTAAACTGATAACCACTGTGCCTGGAATAATTATAAAATGTGCTATGTCAAGCAGTCAGGCCTAAGTTGCCATAACAAGTATGAAAACTGCACACGATCAACAACAAATATAAACACATGCATAAGTATACTATATTGTTTAATATATAAGAATACCTCAAGTTTTTACGTGCAAGCAAATCTATATAATAAAGCTCGTAAGCGTTAGATGGCGCAAACTGGCTAGCGAGTGTGCATAATATACATACATATATTATTGATAAGCGAGCAGCGAGGCGCAGCTCACGTATATCACACATATATTAGAGGCCTAAAGAGCCCAAGTAGCGCTGTCAGCGTTACGCTCGATTTTTAGACAGAGCCGTATTTGCTTAGAGTGAGAGACACTAAATAGTCAGCGTCAGCGTCAGCGTGATGATATCAAAATCGTGACTGATAGCAATGGGGGCGGGAGCGGCATGTTTTTGTTTGATTTAGTCATGTAATTGGGCTGTTTAGATAAGTCCGTTCAGTTACTAATTAATGTTTGCTTTGTTGCAGCACGTCGTGTTTGGAAGGATTACTTCCCAGCTGTAGATGCCATCGTATTTTTGATAGACGCCTGGGATCGCGGCCGCTTCCAGGAGAGCAAAAACGAGCTGGATTCGCTGCTCACAGATGAAGCGCTCTCCAACTGCCCCGTGCTCATATTGGGCAACAAAATTGATAAGCCTGGCGCGGCCAGCGAGGATGAGCTGAGAAATGTGTTCGGACTGTATCAGTTAACGACCGGCAAGGTATAGCTAAACTTGTTTAATATTGTCGCTCAATATATTTAATTAAATTCTTTTTTGGTTTCGGCATCGCAGGGCAAAGTTGCACGCTCCGAATTGCCTGGTCGCCCGTTGGAATTGTTTATGTGCTCCGTGCTGAAGCGACAGGGCTATGGCGAGGGTTTCCGTTGGTTAGCGCAGTATATTGATTAAGTCATGATTAACATAAACAACAAAGTAACAAACAGAATTCAACAACCACACAACAAAGCAAAGAACTTGGCTAACAACAAAAAAATATATTTAGAATGGACAAACAGAAACGACAGTAAGCAAATCGAAGCTGCGAGCGCAATTTCCAATTTATACACAATGATAAACAATAAATCGTAAAACAAAACAAAAGGAACTAAATTAAAAAATAAAGCAAAAAAATATTTTTTAAAAAACAAAGTGCAAAACCTCTTCTAAAAACTCAACGTAGACGCACGCAGGTTGCCAATAAAGAAAATAAAAACGGGAAACTTAAGGAATGCGTGGGAAAAGCTTTTAAAAATAATTATGTATGAATAATAAATTGTAGCAAATTAAAAGGTGATTTTTTTAAGGACCATGTGCTTGCTTATGTTCCATAAATAAATTTTATTATTTAAACATTTTAAATAATCTGTCAAATTTTTTTGATTTGGTCTTTTTCAATTTTTTCTATATAACTTGCCGATATATTTTCCACGACCAATTTAATTTGTTGCTACATCTTTTAAGTTGCATGGGAAACAATTTATAAAAACGCAAATTTACAATAAAAAGATGACACATTTTTTGTATAAAACCATTTGAATGCATTTTCAACGCCCAGGCAGAAGGAACCTTTTCCCAGGTCATTTATATCGTTTCCAACGAGTAAACATTTTAGTAGAAACCGGAATATATATTCCATCAACGAAACGCAGTGCAGATTTTTACAAATATATTGAATTTATTTATGTTGCATTTAAGTCGTTGGCGAATTATCCTTGGCGGATCAACTTGAAATTAATAAAACATCAAATTGACTAATTAGAGCTAATATTAATCGGCTGTTTGGTCTAGCCGGGGATAATTCATAGTTTATTTTTACAGCAACATGTTTACTTGTCTATGTAGAAAAATATTACTAAAACATGCAGAAATGATCAGGGTCAGGATTGCGCTGTTAGCTTGGGCGGGATGTGCGGTCGGACGAACGTTGACAACGCGGCACGCGACCACAGAATAACAGTTGACGATGAAACAGCCGCAGGAGCAGGCTATTCCTTTTCGCTTTGTGTTGACATCAAGACTGCGAAGAGCCCATAGCACCTCCGCCATCACCGCTGCCGCCCATGCGCCGTTTTTTCTTTTTCTTGGCCGTGAGACTTTCCTGGCCACTATCCGTATTTGAATCGGCGTCCGCCTCGGTCTCTGATGAAGAGGAACTGCTGGACGAGGAGGATGAGCTTGAATTGCTCGAGCTATCGGAGGCGAAACCCGTGCTTTCGTTTATATTAATACTTTCGGCTATTTGAGCCAACTCTGGCCTCTGCTCCCGCAGCACACGCAGCCATTTACGCGACAATTTGGGACGACCGCGCACCGTCTTGTGCCACACACACGGAAAGTTCGTAATGCTACAAAAGTTCTGCGTTATCGCAATGGTATCGTCCAGATTGAGTACCACGTGCCACCAGCCGCCAGGCACAAACACCGTCTCGCCAGCACACTGTAGCACCTCGATGGGTTTGTATTCCTGCGGCCACGAGGGCAGTTGGGTGCGCGGATAAATGGTGCTAAACCAGGTGATGGCCTCGTCGCGCTGCTTGCCGCCCATAGCGCTGGTGACCTTCAGCAGGTCCTTGGGCGTGTGCGTGGGAAATAAGCACCACCGCTTGTGGCCACGTATTAGCGTATTCCAGGCACTGGTACCCAATGGATCAATATGAATGCCAGTGCCGGAACGAGATGGACCCATGACAAACCATCTATATGGCGGGCGACGATCCTCGCCGCAATACTTGAAGAGATCATCACGAAAATATTTGGGCACCGTATAATCCTCCAGCAGCTTTCGCCGACGATGATGCTCGCCAAAGCTGCTATCGAATATGTAAAGCGGACTGTCGTCGCGAGTCCCTTGCATATATTCCACATAGTATTTCATTTTCATCTTCACGCTATATCCTTCATTATCCTCGCCGCACTTGAATTTTTGGTTGCGATACTTCTTAGCAAGGCGGGAGAGCGTCCATTTCTCCTGGGCCAGCCAGCCATCAGCGCAACCGGTAATTATTACGGGCAGATAGGGACGCTCGTAGCGTTCAATGAATTCATCACATGTTATTGTTGCATTGTCAATTCTTTCCAGGTTATCCGTAAAGTCCCAAAATGGTTCAAACTTCTCATAATAGCGCATCGCAATCCACGCGGTATCTCCATCCAGTTCAGGCCGGGCCTTGCGCTTCACGTCACGCGTACGCTTTCGGGATCGTTTCGGCAGTTTGAATTCTTCGCTCATTATGAGAAATTCAGTAAAAAGAAGCGAAATGGTAATTAGGCAGTTGGTGGATGACTTTCTGCACGTCGCATTCAGAGCCAATGCAGATGAGTTGCAAATACGATATCGATATAGATTTCTTCAAAAATTAATGATTCCTATGATATCGATTTTTTGCTGAAAGCGTAGTTCAATTTGAATTCAATGCAATAGAAATATTTTAACTCTTAATTATACAACATTTTTCCAGACAGACCTCTTTAGGAACAGCAAATTATTTTCCATACTTTTTATTTCAAATTTGTAAATTAACTTTTGCAGGAAAGTCACCAATGTCACAATCAAATATATCGATAGTCAATTGCGGTATATCGTCGGCCTCACTCATGTGACAGAAGCAAAAAATAGGTGTTTTATGAAGAAAAATAATGATAAGCCAAGTTGGAAGAGGTACGTTTTTGAGAACTATACCTCGCTAACGTATATAAGTTAAATTAAACTCTTACAGAGTTTTACAGAGTGCCGCATCGCATTTTAGACCATCGCGTATTTGTTAACGGCGAAATCGAAACATTTTTGGATAATTTCGAAGTAAAACGCAACGATAGCGAAGTTGAGAAACTTTTCCAGGTCACCGAAATTGTGGGTTCACTTAAATACGACCTTTCAGAGCGGTGCATTGCATTAGGTAATCAGAAGCTTACCGAACTTGCCACAGGTGTTAACAACTTGCTTTGTGGCGTTGAAGCGCTTCTGGAGAAAGCCAAAGTTGAACGAACAGTGCGTGTATTTAACTAATAATCAAATATTTTCCAACCGAATTGTGAGTAATCTTTTTGTGTACCCAGCCCAGCGCCAATCTACAGGAGGCAAGACTTGCACGTGAGCAACGCAAAGCAGAATTTATTAACAATCTGCAGCACAGTTATCAAAGAATTGATAACTCATTCGAGGAAAAGGAGGAGGAAATAGCCGAACTATACTCGGACTTGCAACTTAAGCTGAACATTAACAAATAAGTACGCCAGCGACATGCTGAAGTCAACAATCGTGGACACTCGTGTGCGGCTTCGCCCATCCAAGAAGTTCTTGGATTCGCTAAATGCACAGAAGGAACATTTGAAAGAACTGCCGGCCAATTTGGCCACTGCACTGGAGAAAAACGGGTACAGCGTTCCGAAAAGTATCAGAATCTTGAAAGACAGTGAGCTTGCCTTTAAGCGCCCACAGATTGATACAAAGCTGCTGGAAAAACTAACAGCAGATGTCCCAGATGTGCCCCAAGAAGCAGCGGAAGCCCCAGAGGAGGAGGAACAGCAGCGGCCAATTGTGGGCCACTTTTTATATCTGAACGACTTGCACTGGCTTAACTCAACTTTGACTGAGCTACGCAAAAAAAATTTAATTGATGTATTTCTCTATGAGCTAATTGAAAGTTGCGAGCTCATACTGCCAGAGAATGAGTTTAAGCCTCGTAATCCCGAGCTTGAGGCGCGTTGCCAGCGCTTGCGTGAGGAGCAGCAAAATCGAGAATACCAAAAGATGACCAAAAATGTTGATGCAACCCTGAAGCATGTTCCCGAGGACACCGTTGCCTATCAATGTGAGTTAATCAATCAAGTTAAATCAATATAGATAAATCATGATAATTCTCATCTTTCTTGCAGTAAAAAGCATCAATAAGCAAATCATAGCCGTGGCTCAGTTCATCTTCTCGGTAGCGGCAGGATTTACGTTTGGTTTCTTTGGTGTCAATTTGATGGTTGGTCCCTTGCCCTTTGGTTTTCGAATTCTGCTGGGTGTCATTGTGGCACTAGTTATAGCGCTCGCCGAGATGTATTTCCTAGCCAAGAAGCTGCACGAATATGATGAGGTCTTGGATGCGCCCAAACGTAAAACTCCAAACTCGACTAAAGTAAGCGGCGTGCAAAACATTAAGCCGCATGTTGATTAAAAAGTAATTTAAAAAGCTTAGCGTTAAGTTTCGTTTGCAGTATTTGGGTTAGATAAATAAGTTTTGATTTTAACAGAGGAAGGGAAGGGCTTTTCGATATATGTTGACAATACACATACACTTATTCGTAGTGGTTCTGGTTGGGGTTTGGATTATTCCAGCTGTCGTCCAAACTTTCGTTGCCACTGCCTCGACCTAGCAATGCCATTAAATAAATGAACATAATGAAAGCCAAAATGCCACTGAGTACCAAGAACCAGGTGCGACGCCAAGGCGGACGCGATGACGGTGCATAAAAGCGACGCGTCCATCGCGAGAATAGCTCAGCCGGTGTGCGGCGCTGGTATTTATTATCATCACGATCCGTGCCACCTATGGGCGACTGACGCGGCAATAAAGGACGCCGGCTGCTAGTTCCTAATAAAAAAAAATAAAATGTTTTAAAATGGCATACAGATTGAAACAACGTACAACGAACCATGTGAATCGCCTGAGCTAGGCGGATTAAATGCGTCCATTAACAGCACGGAATGTGGACTGGAACTATCAACGCCTCCATTCGGTTTCATACGCTCACGCTCGCCAGCGGAATGATGGTGCACTTTGGTTATGTTCGTAACAGCCGACTGGCTACCAATAGCTTTCGACTTGAAGCTATTGTTTTGATCATCTGAAAGCTGCGAATTGATTTGTTACTATGTAAACAGTTCAACTATGCCATCCCGTTGAGCATTTACCAAGGCAAGACCCAGTCCATTTCGTCCCCAGTTCACTTGGGCCAGATAGTGTTTGAGTGCATCTGCCACGGGTGAGACCAAATTTGATGTTGGAAAAATTTCGACGTTACAACTTGGGCATTGATGGCCACTAGGCGCTGTATTCGCAGGCAAACCGGCTTGACGTGCATTCAAGCAGTCCCAGTGATAAACATCTAGGAATGAACATTAAATAATCGATGAAAATTTCCTGACTGTCTGCGGATACTAAGCACTTACGGTAACACACCAGACGTACACATTCGCCCTGCTCCAGGCCGGTGCCGCACAGCGTACAATTGGATATATAGTCGCTATCACGTAGCCATTGTAGATACGATTGCACTATGCACTATACGAGAGTAATTGATTCATTAAAATTTATTTATCACTTATAGATTGAGTTCGAAACCTACCTTGGGATGGCTCTGGACCATGCAGTGCTCACAAACATTTACTCTATGCTCGAAGCAGAATTGGTTTGTCACCAATCGTTTTGGACATTTGCAAAGTCCCATTGTGGATACTGAGGAGTTATTGTCTTTGTTTTCAATAAGCTTTGTATCGCACTTGAGCTAACAGTCGTTATTTACCTTGGGCGCACAAATTTGTATTATCGCATATTTATTGTGAATAATTCTAATTATTTTAATTTTGTGCTTAGCTTTTGTTGGAATTTTTGCCTAGATAATAACAGAATCGACAGCCACGTATTTATACTGTTTCCAGACCGACCAAAATTCTATCGGACTTCCGATTAATCGATAAATTGTTTGTATGGGGGCGCAGTTGGTTTTGGTTAGTATTTGAATGCACAGTATAAATTTTAAGTTGGGAAATGTTTTTAGCTCAAAATGTAATTTTATCATCCATTAATATATAGATATATATATATATATATATAATGAACTCGAATGCTGTCAAAATAACTTCTGAATGAACAGTACTTAAATTACCGTAACAATAAAAAACAATGCTTCAATTTTTAGTCTAACCAATCGTTCATATATTGACAATTAATAGCGGTAACATCGCCACAATTGGAGCAATTCTTAATCACGGGGCATATGCCACATGGCATTTGAACCAAACCAGGTGCCGGCAAAGGTAAATTTACCGCACGATACACGTACGTTCCATCTGATTGTAGTATGCGTTCTGCGCTGCCATCATAGACTACGGTTTTCAGTATGGTCTCTAAATCATCCTCATCTAGATTGACTTTACTAATACCCAAATCCGAAATAAATTTGTGGACCTCCTTCACAGTGCAACAGGACATTTGTTTAAACGCCAGAGGTCCATCGCGTTTCTTCTCGGCACCCTCACGTTTCATTTGAAGAAATCGCAAGCATTGTTGGTTGAGCACATCCACGAACTCGACTTCAAAATCCTGGTCCTGATACCAAGCACCGCCCGTTACAGACCGATCTGCTTCCATGTTGTATAGCATATAGACTTTCTTTTTGCTGGCCTTGATTGTGAAAATTCAAATGTAATTCTTATGATTTCTCTTATAGTTAGCGTTCACTTACATTCACTGATTTAACGGCTTTGATCAGTTTCTTTGTTTCCAAATTCTTGAGGATTTTGTTTAACTGTGTCATGTTCAAATTGGACTTCATGCGTATATCACGTATCCAAATGCCTTTGTTGCCGCCCTCTTCAACTATACTATAGACGATCTTCTCTTCATTATCAGCGTCTTTCGGTAGAGCGCTTTTCTTTTGGGGATCTTTGGCACGATAAATAAGTTTCTCTCCTTTCTTTAAAACCTCTATGCTCCCTTGCTTCAACAGTACATTGAGACCTTCGACCCGCGAAGCAGCGGACATATCCGACAATGCTTTGGTAAGGTCATCATTTGTGGCACCACCCGGAATTCCTTGGATTACAGCAAACAAAAGTTGAGCGATCTCGGCTGCCATTGTGATCTGTAATTAAAAAATTCAAATAAATTGGTGGGGTAAATTATGTCAAATGTGGAGCAACACAGTAAATGAGGAGCATTTCTGTTATTAGGCTGCTAAGTAAGGGCATTGTACACAGGCGAATGTTTTTGTTTTCAATAGTCGAAAGTAAATTGAGCTGTTTTATTTTTACAATAACTTACGATTTTACAGTGCTAAAATGTCGCAAACACACAGTTCAGATGACGAAACTGATTTTAAGGCCGTCAATACAACTAATTACCAACGAATACAGGAAAAAGTAGAAAAGGTATGGCAAAAGCGTGCTTCAAAGTGGGAACCGAGTTGCCTGTCAGCTTACTTTACGACGTCTGTTAAGAAAGAGAAGAAGAAGCAATATGTTAAGTGTGCAGTCCCAAAACTTCGAAATCAGCTGACAACTTACAGGATCAAGCATATGAGAATACTGAATACTCTATCTTTCCTACAGATAAATTATGCTGATGGAATTGCAGATGGACGCGAACAAGTGTTTCAGACCAGCTTCGATCAAGGCTATGCCGATGGATTAAGAACTGGAATGGAATTATCCAAGTTCCCGGCCTTTTATGACGTACTCAAAACCGCAAATATTGACGAAACTTTATCAAAGGAGCATGTGGCCTACGAGGAAATGAAGTTATCAAAACCTACAGATAAGTGCCACTTTAAGTATTTGGAGCATCAAAGTGAGCCACTCAGCGTTGTATCCGAAAAACAAAATGCCTATATAGACAATTTTTTGGAACACTGCGACGAAGCGCTGCAAAAAACAACAAATTTATTCAAGTCGCAAGCGAAATGATTTATGTATTAACCTGATTTAATGCGTGTGTGATTAGGAATTATAATATATTAACTGAAAGTTGATTTGACTTATAAATACAATCCCTCGGGCGTGCCTTCCTTCTTGCGGTACAAAACGCTCTCCTTCGATTTTTTAAAGTCCTCGTTGGTCACTTTCATGCGGCGCTCGCGCAAGGCCATTAGACCAGCTTCTGTGCAAATTGCCTTAATATCAGCGCCAGATAGGTCATCTTTGGCCATAATTAGCTCATTCAGATTCACATCCTCAGCGAGCGTCATGCGCGAGGTGTGTATGGTGAAAATGCGTCGCTTGGTCTTCTCATCGGGCAGTGGGAACTCAATCTTACGATCAATACGTCCCGGACGTATAAGCGCCGGATCCAGCGTTTCAATCCGATTTGTTGCCATGATAACTTTAACGTCTCCGCGAGAATCAAAACCATCGAGCTGATTGAGTAACTCCAACATGGTGCGCTGAATTTCGCGCTCTCCGCCCGAGTTGGAATCATAACGCTTTGTGCCAACAGCATCAATTTCATCAATAAATACAATAGACGGCGCATGCTCCTCGGCCACGCGGAACAGCTCGCGCACCAACTTGGGACCATCGCCCAAGTACTTTTGTATAAGCTCTGAGCCGACAACGCGCAAGAAAGTCGCAGAGGTTTGATTGGCAACAGCCTTGGCGAGAAGAGTTTTACCAGTGCCGGGAGGACCATAAAGAATAACGCCCTTTGGTGGTTTTATGCCCATTTCCTCGTAGTATTCGGGATGAGTTAACGGAAGCTCAACAGACTCCTTGATTTCTTGTATTTGCGTATCCAGACCACCAATGTCCGCATAGGTTTCCTGTGGCGCTTTCTCCAGCTTCATAACCGTGACCATGGGATCTGTGTCGTCACTTAGAACACCCACGACAGCATGAACCTTGTGATTCAAGAGGACAGAGCAGCCAGGCTCCAATTGGTCCTTGTCGACAAAGGACAGAATGCTGACGTAGTGCTCGGAACCCACGGATGTCGACACAATCGCATGATTGTCATCGATAATCTCCTCTAGATTGCCCACGGACATTGGTGTGCCACGCAAGTCATCCACCTTGGAACGTTCTTCCTCATTCTTCTCGTCTTGTGGCTTCAGGCGCTCCTGGTTGCGTATAAACTCGTCCTCCATCATAAGGTAATCCTTAATGCGCTCCAATTTAAGCAGCTTTAGACGACAGCGTGTATGGGGCGTCACTTGCGGCAGCTTCATGGCCGCATCGGGACCCTTTGCGCGACGCTTCTTTTTGCCAACACGAGTCGGAATTGGTGGCTCATATTTCTTCTTTTTGTCTTTGTCATCCTTCTTGTCTCCAGTTCCACCCTGTGCCGATTGGTTTTGACCCTGCAAAACGCCAGTACTCAATTAAACTTACAAAACTAAGCCTTTTCCCAGGCCAATTTACCATATTGCGTGTCTTCTTTAATATAGTCAAACGAAAATTAATTTATTTTGTCGGCAACACAAACAGATTTTTACTAGTCATAACCAACATGAAGTTGGCTGCGGCTACACTGCCAGTGTGTACACTTTGTATCGAACATGGTTGCACGACAAAATAATATTTTTGGCGCCTACTTTAAATTTAAATTTAACATATTAATGAACTCTTGTTTCGTTATTTATATATTATCTTGTGAATGCAATTATAATTTTTTTTTTAATAAGACAATTAACTTTTTGATAGACGTTTAGAATACGAATAACAACATACGTTGTTATGTACTTTTTAACATGGCATCACATTTAACATAGCATCTTATTACAGTAGTAATTTTCTACTCAACATATTCACCACAAAAAGGAAGGACATAGCAAGCAGATAACAAGTTTCTTAACAAGTAAATTTAATTAACATAAAGTTCAAGGTTAGAAAACAACAAAAATAAACATTTCCGTAGATCCCAAGAATATACGCAAAAAATCAGACGAAACAACAGAAATAACGTCTTCATTTATTAGCGATCGGCATTTCGTCATCGGCTTATCAACAGGTACGTAATTATTAAGGCACCTGTAGATTCATGTACATGTAATGAATTTCTGTTAACTATTTTTAGATACCTGTAAAATTGTCTACGTAACATTCGAGTGCTTTATCTAAATGCTTTATTGGTTATAATGATGTTCGAATTATTTTATTTGACCATTACAAGTTTAATAATTGTGTTCGTCGCGTCCTACATATTAATAATATTTAAATGTACACGAAAAGTTATTGTCCAAATTGTACTTTCAAATGAGGAAAATGTTAAACGTGAATTCGTTCAGGCACCTGGTCCACATCCTTGGCCTATACTCGGAAACTTGGATATAATTGGCCGTTTTAAAAATCCGTTCAAGGGCTTTGGAACATTAGCAATCCATTATGGAGACATTTACTCCTTAACTTTTGGTCACACACGCTGCCTTGTGGTGAACAACTTGGAGTTAATACGAGAGGTTCTAAACAAGAATGGGAAATTCTTTGGTGGTCGCCCGGACTTTCTACGCTACCATAAGCTGTTTGGAGGGGACCGTAACAACTCTCTAGCTCTATGCGATTGGTCTCAACTGCAACAAAAACGCCGGAATTTGGCGCGACGCCACTGCTCTCCGCGAGAATCGTCCTCTTATTTCAACAAGATGTCAAGTATTGGATGTGATGAGATTGACATTTTGATGGAAGAGCTGAGAAAAGTTATTATACCTGGACAACCACTCGATTTGAAACCAGTTTTAAACGCAGCATGCGCAAATATGTTTAGCCAATACATGTGTTCAATACGATTTGATTATGACGATATGGAATTTCAACAAATCGTTAAATTTTTCGACGAAATTTTTTGGGAAATTAACCAAGGACATCCATTGGATTTTTTGCCATGGCTATCACCATTTTACCAGCTACACACGAAACGAATTGCATATTGGTCTACAACAATACGTAAATTTATTCTGGAGCGTGTTCTTAACCAAAGGGAGCTGAATATTGATCCTGAGGAGCCAGACAACGATTTCACGGATGCACTACTGAAAAGTTTGATAGAAAACAAAAATATGTGTCGTAATACAATTATCTTTATGCTGGAAGACTTTATCGGTGGCCATTCAGCTGTTGGTAATTTGATAATGCTGGCTCTTGCCTATATAGCCAAGGATCCAGTTATTGGTAGAAATATTCAATTTGAAGCAGATGTTATCTCAAATAATGGAAAGCGAAATATAACTTTGGAAGACATGGAAGAAATGCCTTACACCATGGCCACAATATTCGAAGTTTTGCGCTATTCATCGTCTCCCATTGTACCACATGTGGCTACTGAGGATTTGGTTATTTCAGGATTTGGAGTGACTAAGGGCACAATTGTGTTTATAAACAACTATGTACTAAACATGAGCCAAGAAAGTTGGAGGAATCCCAATCACTTTTGTCCAGAACGATTTTTAGAACAAAAATGTATAAATAATGCTCAAAAATCATCAACGATTTCTGATAAGAGAAAAATGTCCGAAGACTCTGATTCAGGCATAGAGTTCGAAAACGATAGTAAATTTGGATTACAATATTCGCATATAAGAAACCTAAAAACGAAATCTGGTACAACTAATCAACTGACTGATGAACTACCAAAGTTTCGACTGAGAAAGAATCTTCCACATTTTCTACCTTTTAGTATAGGAAAACGTACTTGCATTGGACAAAATTTAGTACGAGGCTTTGGTTTTATATTGCTGTCCAATATATTATTGCGTTATAATATAAGCAGTCCAGACATTTCAACGATTAAGGTAAATCCGGCCAGCTTAGCGTTGCCCGCAAATTGCTTTCCACTAGTATTAACAGAAAGAAAGTAAAATTCACAAAATAATATTTTCAATATGCCATTTGTCATAACATAGAATATAACCAAGCTTAAAAGTAAACTTTTCGAAAATGTAATTACATATATTGGTAGTTTTATTATAGGATAATGTAAATTGAAAATAGTTTAAATAAATAATAAACCAAGAAAAATAAATGTAAATGTAAATGTCTGCCTATTTGGAATTAACAGTAGTTTTAATGTTCTCAAAATTAGAAGAGAACATCGATAGTTTATCTTGATTAATTTAATATATCGATATTTCCATACAAGCGAACTAGCTTTGAGCTGAACTATATAATTTCAATGCTCAATATCATCTCTAACCCAAACAACTCAAGTTTGTTGTTTATTGAACAAAACCCGCGAAATTGTTAAAATTATAAATAAATGGCACAAAACCCACAAAACATTGAGCTTAAGCTCCAAGACGTCGATGTTTTAACAGCAGGAATTGTTGCAGAGTTTGTAAATAGCATACTGGACTTCCTGTTATTTCACCGCAGTCAAATTCCATTCGTCTATAAAACATACAAATATTATGTGGAGAAATGGGATGAAACTAATCAAACAGATAATGCGCAAGACTCCTTTAAGCACTATCAGTTACAAAAACAACGATCCTTAGCTAAGGAGACCAAGGAGGCCATCAGCAATATGCGAGAAGTAAATATAAGCAACGTGAGCAAAAGTAGCCAAAACTGAACAAACATTGTTTTATTTTCAGCTAATACGAACTACATTTAAAAGCAGCAAAGCGGTAAAGAGTTTACGGTTTTTATTCGGGAATAATACATTCATGCCGTCAGAGTCTTACACAATACACATTCCGCACACATCCATATCCAAATACCACGGTGATATGCACTCCATGGCAGATGGACCCATGAACCAAACACTTCTGCAGCTACTCACCTGCGAGGATCTCTATACGCTCTGGTCCACAGAGCTTAAGGCCACTAATGTTTTCCTGGAGCTGGAACTGTTGAGCCATGAAAAGGAGGAACAGATCGAGGCTTGGAAACTAATCCCTAAGGATGTTATTAGTCAGTTGCCACGTAGTTGCAAGAATGTGCATTTGCATTTGTTGCATGTCAACGAGAAAGACAATGCAGAGCTGGAATGCTGCAAGCAGTTGGCTATATACGAGGATATCGCCATTTTGAATTTACATCCAACAGAAGCCAATGAGGAAGTGTGCATTAAGGAGACAGAGCAAATGACTGGTTGGTGGCAGGCAGATGTAATAGTCCGCGGATTTAGGGCTCCCAAATACGACTTATGGTCAAACTAGAACCTTATAGACATAAATTCACCATGTAGTGCCATTCAATTTATTAAACTTTGCGGATTTTTATTATATAACTTACATATGTTTGTATTTCAAGAAGGGTTGTTCCTACTTCAAATTATAGAATTTTTTTTTCTTTACCTTTGGAATTTTGATGAATTAAAATTAAGCAATGCATTTGCGTCAACTAAATACATTTCAAATTGTTTCATTGCAAGTGTCATCTCCAAAAAGAACCCTCCACTTGTTGAACAAAACGGCGATTTCAGTAGTTCGATAGCAACTGCTTCAATCGGTTCATTGAACTGAACAAATACAACGATTCAGCCCTAACGCTTGCCTTTGTATTTGATTCGCGTCCCGTTTACATATAATTTAAAGATTTTGAAACTATACAGAAGCAAGCGTCTAGTCATTCGTCGTAGTCTCGTTGTCGGTTGCGTCGTCGTTGCAGTATGTCTGAGAAACCGACTGTTTTAATTTTGGGCGGTAAGTGCAATTGCAATGGCAATCGGAGCGATAGCTGCGACTTATCTCGACTGTATCTGTAGGCTGTGGCTTTATTGGACGCAACTTGGTGACTTACTTGCTGAAGAATGAGCTGACACAGGAAATACGCATTGTTGATAAGACGCCGCCACAAATGGCCTGGCTGAATGAGCAACAAAGCAAGGCTTTCGCTAGTGATAAAGTTGAGTTTTGCAGCGCGAATTTAATTAATGCCGGTATGTAATAATTCAACCCACACACGCAACCTTATCTACACAAACTGAAACTGGTTTTTGGATTTTTTTTGTGGGTGTCCTTCATGCTTTGCAGCCTCATGCAAATTGGCGTTTGCACCACACCCAACAACGAATCGGAGCTGGGATATGGTCATCAACTGTGCAGCCGAGACGCGTTCCAATCAAGATGATGCCGTCTACAAGGAGGGCATCTACAAGCTGAGCATCAACTGTGCCAATGAGGCTGCCAGTCAGCAGACCAAGCGCTATGTGGAGCTCAGCTCGGGCTGTGTGAACAGCAGCGAGAAGACACCGCTAAAAGAAGACTGCAAGCTGGACCCCTGGACGGGTGTGGCCAAACAAAAGCTTAAAGTGGAAAAGGAGCTGGCGCACATTAACAATCTTAGTTATACGGTGGTGCGCCTGCCTGTTGTTTACGGCATTGGCGATAAGCGCTACTTAAGTGAGTCGCCGTCACAATCACAATCTGTTTTTGTATATAACAATAATGTAACTAACTCCACAGTGCCACGCATTATAATAGCAGCCATATACAAATATCTCGGCGAGACAATGAAACTACTGTGGAACGACGCCATGCGCCTCAATACGGTGCATGTGAGCGACGTATGTGCTGCGATTTGGCAATTAGCTGAAAGTCCAAAAACGGTTGGTCAGGTCTACAACATTGTGGATGACTCAGCCTCTACGCAGGGCAGCATCAGCGATTTGCTTGTGGATATTTTTGAAATCAATGTGGAATATTTTGGCATTGTTATGTCCAATCTGACTAAGGTATGTCATCAATATTGACCGATGACTCACGGCTATTTAATCACTACATATTCATATGCATTTACTCAGCTCTATCCAAGCGATACGGTAGGGGAAATTAATGATAAGCACCTGGCGCCCTGGGCTGAGATTTGTCAACACAATGGCATTGACAATACGCCGCTTACACCTTACTTAGACGAAGAACAGCTGCATCATAAGCATCTCTACCTGGACAATACGAAACTAAAAGACTTTGGGTATGTGCTACAGCAGCCAAAAGTAACGCGCGCCTTGCTTATGGAAATGATTGATGACTATGTGAAACATCAGTTGTTTCCCAAATCTTTGGCAATCTAACTGAAGCTATTGGATACGGATCAAGCACCAAGTTAATACGCACACAAACATTACTAGTTAAGATGAAAGTTTTAATATTGCGAATCAATTATGACCACAAAATCTTCCAATTTATACCAGGTATATATTAACCTGTAATTTGTAGCGTTTGCAAAAAAAAAGTGTACTTATAGTATTATGTGTAGAGCCAATCATTTTTTATATAACTAAAAACTATATCGTAGTATGCATACATTCCAATCAATTATACAATGTATACGTAATTTAAAGCTCGACTAACGAACTGAGAACATTTGAGACTAAAATTAATATTGTGATCATTTTAGTGGCCAACGACAATTGACAATTTTAATAAAAAAAAAAATAAATACAAAAAAAAACAAAATGCAATTGTTTAGTTATTTAGTTTATGTGTGTATTTGATTACTTTAAAAGTTGCGGCAACGGAGCGTTTCGTACGATACGATACATAATTGAAAAATGCAATTGCTTCACTTTTACGCTCATTAAAACTTAAAAACTTACAGAAAATCAACAATAATCATTGTAAAAGCAATTAAAGCTCGCTCTTGTTTTTGTTTAGCTTAATTTAAAACACGGTATGAAGTTAGAAAGTTGAACAAATCTTTCAGCTAAACTAATAATTTGTTGCTTCATATAAATTAATTTGCTTTTGTGACATTTGCCAAAAACAGAGGTGCGCGGATGCAATATGTTTATGTTTGCTTTTGAGTTTGGTTGATTAATAAACTAGTTAAGTTTTAGCAGCTGCAGCGCTTAGAAGGCCAAACCGGCGTCACGGTATGTGGTGAAGATCTTCTCAATGGAGTTGACATAGGCAGCGGTTCTCAGATCCAGACCCAGGTTGTATTTCATGGCTGTCTTCATGATGGCACGTGCGGAACGCTCCATGGTATAATCCAGACCGGAGTGCACAATATCCTTCTCGGAGGCGCCAGAGATGCGCTTCTGGAACGACTCAGAGGGTGTGACGGGAATGCGACCGCCGACACGACCGAAGCGACGCTCCAAGGACTCTTGCACGGATTCTAAAATATGATCCGGCATTGCACAAAGAGAAAGAGAAAAATAGAGAGAGAGAGGGATACAAAAATAGACAAAGCGATTAATTAAATATGCCACATGCTGGATATTGGATACGTTATAAGCCGCCAAGGTTAGGTTAGAGCATTTATGAAGGCACAGTTAGAGCACATAGTTTTAGATGTGTTTATGGGCTAGGCCCCAGTCATTAGTGACACGATCTGTATGGTATAATGGATAAGGAGCTGGCAAGAGACATCCGGGCGTAATCTGAACACAGATCTTCAAGCTCTACCAATGCGTTGATGGTAAGGATAATGCGGACAAAAGAACATAACATACATAAAAAGAGGAAAAATCTAAAACTATAAAAAATACATGTATGTCAAAGCAACATACAATAAAGTTTTCTAAATAATAAAGGATAACAAGAACCAATGCAGGCGTTTTTTGGATGGGTGTGTGTGTGTACGTTATGAGTAACAGTAAAAGGCTTGTTTTTTTTTATGGGACAGGATAATAGAAAAGAAGATTTAATAATAATGTACCGTCGTTAATAATTCTTTCAATTGACTGTTGGACTGAGTCTACATTGGTGATAGAGAAACAGAAAAAAAGAAGAAATAGAATAAACAACGAATTACTAAGATGGCATTATAATTAAATTACGATTTTAAGTTTTTTTTTTTTTTAGCTGATATACGACTATTGAGGAGCACTAACTAAATGGAGCCAAATAAATTAGAATAAATTAGATGTTTTTTTGTATTTTGTTTTTGTTTTTAGAAACCAAACCAAACCGGAAGAGCAAATGCTTAAGAGCAGCCGCTTTTCTGTAAGGGTTTTGCAACTGGCTTAAGTTAAAAGACATAATATATACAATAAATAATCATACAATTTTAAAAACCATATACCCTTAAATGAATTGTAAATGATATGGCATGATTGATCGTACAAGCCTGTGATATATATATATATATACTACGTATATAGATAGATAGTTAAAGATAGTGTTTTTCTTCAAGGAACTTGAACAACTTACCGAGCAGATGATAGTTGGACTCGCGCTCGTACTTGAAGGTCAAGCGACCGTATGATACATGGTTCAGGTTCTTGAGCCACTCAAAGAATGAGACGGTAACACCACCGGCATTGATATACAAATCGGGTATGACCAAAATGTTGCGATCAATGAGTATCTTATCCGCAGCGGGCGTGGTGGGGCCGTTGGCAGCCTCGGCAATGATCTAGAAGTATAATAAGATGAAGCATGAAATATGGAGATAATCCTGTACAAACATATCAAAGGCAAAGGCTGCCAACTAGTTCGGAATCTAGAATTCCCAGTTTTCATTTCTTGCAACCTTGGTCATATGTGATTGATGCTCACTTTGCATTGAATTCTGCCTGCATTCTCGCTGTTGATGACCTTCTCGACGGCCGCTGGAATGAAGATGTCGCACTGCTCGAACATCAGGTTCTCGCCCTCGTACGGCTTGGCATTGGGATAGCCGACGACGGTGCCGTGCTCGTTCTTGTAGTCCTCCAGCAGCTTGGGATCAATACCCTCTGGGTTGTAGAGTGTTCCATCGTGCTCAATCACACCGATGCAGGTGGCGCCAGCGCGGGTCAGATAGCGGGTGGTGTGCAGGCCGACATTACCGAAGCCCTGCACAATGAAGGTCTTGCCTCCCCAGCCGGGAGTGGTGCCTGCGAGCATGCGATATGATTATGGTAATGTTTAAGCGACTGGGAATCTCTAGAATAGCTCACCAATCATGCTCATATAGTTGGCCTCGTTGATGAAGTTCTCCAGACCGTGGAAGACGCCGCGACCGGTGGCCGAGACGCGTCCGTGAATACCGCCCTGGTTGATGGGCTTGCCAGTGACACAAGCGTGCGCATTGATGTCCAAATGGCCGATGGTCTTGGCATAGGTATCGGCAATCCAGGACATCTCACGCTCGCCGGTGCCCATATCGGGTGCGGGCACATCAACGCCGGGGCCAATGAAACCCTTCTTGGCCAACTCAAGTGTGAAGCGACGCGTGATCTTCTCCAGCTCATGCTCCGAGTACTCCTTGGGGTTGATCTTCAGGCCGGCCTTGGCACCGCCGAAGGGTACATCAACGCAGGCGCACTTGAAGGTCATCAGAGCAGAAAGGGCTTTGACTTCATCGCGTGACACATCCAACGAGAAGCGAATGCCTGCGGTAAAAGAATTGCATAAGTATTACGCATACGACAGGTGTGCCTGGGCACAAGAAAACCTTGAAAGCAATATATATACAATATATTCAAAATACTAAATGTCGTATCGAAAAAAAGTACATTCCTCCTGTCTAGGCAGCTTTGCAGTTGTCTTTTTATATTTTTGGACTTAATCCAATTGCAAAGCTCTATGAATAGACATTTCGTTTGTATTCGAAAGCAAAAGTTGATTTTCTGAAAAGTGTGTTGGCATCTCCCTTCACACGTGCATTCGCCCTGGGATCATTGCCAAAGTGGGTCATAATCGCATATAGAGGCAAGTAAATGCTAACCAGGCCGTAAAACCTGAAAGACCCAAGACATTGTGCCAGCATTTTGTTGCTTATCTTGTTTGTGTGTACCATTTTAATATCGTTATATCTTGAAAGTAAAATGGTCTTGGCGATTAGATAAGCAACTTCCTCAACTTCTAAATTGCCCGCCTTTAACAATACGAAGGTTTATTTTTAATTTTACGATGTAATCCATAAACAATATGAACATTATGCACTTGAAGCAGATAAATAATTGGTCAGGCAGGCACAAAGTACACACATTTTTCAATTTATGAACTTTTAGCAATTGGGAAAACGAATTTTGTTTTTCCCTCCCAAAAAAAAAGAAAGCACAAAAACAAACACGCAAAAAGTTTTAGCTAATTAAATGCGGTTGTCAAGCACTGATCTTGATGTCTTGGCCATGAATCCGGTGAACTTTGGCATGCCGAATTCGGCAACATTTGATTGCTGCAACTTCTCGCAAGTCCATCTTATCAGCTGTAAATATTGTCAATGCAAAGCAGCTGGAAAATATATATGTGTGCGCGCACTTATGAGTGCATTAGTATGTGTGCACATTGCGCTGCTTACTCGTGTAAGCAGTGCACCATCCTCGTCTGGTGCTGTGTGCGTGTGCACAAAGTAACGAAAACTCTAGACTCGAAAATAAACAAACGAGCAACTGACCAACGGACCAAGAAAAGAGAAGCTCAATGCGATGTTGCCATTTTTTGCAATGCTTGCTATTTCTCTTATTGTTTGCTTTGCGCTCTCTTTCTTCTGTGCCCGCATAACAACAGCGCACACATCTTTTCGACTTGCCAAAAGACCTCAGCTCTATTTGTTCTTTCGCTTCAGTTTCGGGAATTTCAGCGCTTAACGCATAAAAAATTCGTTGCTAACAACCGGCTTTATCGGCCCAAAGAGCAAACAGAGACTTGTTTTTCAGTATTATTCGTACAAAGCAAGAAAACAGAAAATGAAAAAAACAAGCAAACGCGTGACTTTTTTATAGTTCGCATACTACGAGCTGGTATATGCCCCCACGTATCGCAAATCTATTTATGCAAAGAGCTTGCCATACTATAGGTATACTATAGCTATACCTATATGTATGTACCTATAAATGCTATGTATGTATATGTATGTATGTATATATGGCATGCTTATACAATCAGTTGCGATAAGTTCTTTGCTTTTTTGGGGGCTCGATCGTTTGGGGCGTGCATATTGCCACGTCTATAAGTCTGCTCTATGTGTGTATCTGTGACTGTGTTAGTGTGTGCCATTGGCAACAGCAATCGCAAATTTGAAAGGCCAAACCGGTTGCCCCCCAGTGCGCATCAGCTGACTAGCTTTTGAGCCGTATGATATTTTTTTTTCTCTTCTAGCGTGGGCTGTCGGCGTCTTATGTCTTTTTTCCTGACATATGGATAAGATATAAGCGAATAGGATCCAGATAGCGCAGGAAATGACGCTGAATACTGTAGCAAGTGCCAAAATGATGGTAAACAGTTCCCATACTCAATTAGAGCATTCAAACAAAACAAGTGGGCAAATACCTGCTGGACAACTCGTATGCATTCAGGGGCGAATATCAACAGTATTTGTAGTACTTGAGCAAGACACGAATACAAACAACAGCAGTTTTTCACACAACAGTTAAATGTTGACACAACTTATTTGAATACAAATTGCAAATGGAAGCTTTACACACGAGCCCGACTGATTATCTTTTTGTAAACAAATCCTATATTTAATTAATGTACAGTAGTTGGGCAGAAATCGAAAATTTTAAGAAATTAGCTTAGTTTTTAATAAATTGGGATGCATACAAGTTTTCTTTTTTGAGACAATTTGTTGCTGGGCATTTTTGTAATTTGTAATTATATTCAGCAATTAAAAATTTTTTTTTGGGGCAGCACAGCTAGGTATAAGTTTTAAAATTTGTAAATTCGAAAGAAAGCGTTTTAATTTACGAGTGACTACTGTAATATGTATGTATGTACATAAATGTTGCATATACACATACCGCCAGCCGGCTGATAAGCCCTGCCTCGCCCTGCCCACATTACATTGCTCACATTATCAGCTGAATTATCATTTGATTTACGAGTAGTTGCAACAGTTTAGGCCTAAATTTGATAATTAAAAGCAAACACATAATGTACCCAAATGTGGAATTATGCCGTGCACATAAATAGCACGCTCTATATAAGACTTTTGGCTGTACTTCAATAATTATCATTATAATGAATGCGCTGTTTATTTCCCAATCCGATACAATTGCTATATATACATGCATACATAGCGAATAAATTAATCCAATTGCCAGACAACAGTTCAACGACATAGAAAGTGGTGTATAAAGCAGCTGCACAGTGTGCCAAGAATGTAAAACGTGTGACTCATGCATTGGCACAACGTGAGCATCACGTGAAACACTCAACATCACAAAAAAAAAAAATATAAAACAAATCGAAAATGAAAAGTTTTGCTGATTGAGGGAGATACAAGCTGTATAGACACCACCCAAACCAATGCGCTGAAAACCAGTTTTGTTGTTTGCCTTTTATTACTCTTTTAATACATTGGCATAGGGTATTATGGTTTTGTTATCAAATATGTAACACATGTAAGATGACATTTGTAAAAGTACATTAATTGGTGAATTCGTCGGACCACTTTAATACATATATTATACACTGTAGTATTGCTTCGTTATATAAAAACACTACTAAGACGATATTGAAAACCTGTTTTTTTTTTGAGGAATTCTCGTAGATTTTAAGAGCTAGTCAGTAAATTGGACATGTAGCTTCTAAAATAATATATACAGATCAAGTATCTTTTTATTTTATAGGTATCGCCTCCATCCCATAGCTTTAAATGAAATTAATTACTTAATTGGACCCAACAATAATTGCCACAATTTTATTGCTATTGGTTTTCGAGAATATACGAATATTCTTTAGCACAACAATATCTACTGCTGAAGATTTCATCAAGATCAGTTAAGAAACACAGAAGTTATTAAAGAAAACGTGCGGCTGCCAGTGGAAAGCGCAAGAATTTCTGTACACATGTGTATGTGTACATTCTTCCGCTAGTTTTTTTTTTAGTTCCACATGATGAATTGTAATTCATATTATATTGTAATCTGTGCTGTGTTATATGCTGCTATTTTAATACAGTTTTTTCATTGAATATACATTTTTGGTATGGCTGTGAAGAATGAAGACGTGGCAAGTAGCAAGGAGTTGGGGATTGGCGAGTTCGAGCGCGAGCTGCATTTGGCATTGGAAGGGTATTCCATAGTCGACTAGAGCAGTCTTGTCTTTTTTTTTTTAGCGAGTGGCAGACGTCAAACATTTAGAATTAACTGCAAAATGTATTTAACCGAATTCGAGCCAAGCCATGAAGTCATTTGTGCCAATAAAGTGCCTATAGAAAAACACATACACTTAGCATATATTTATACATATGTATATATATATATATGTATATATATATTGCAATTAGCATTAATTAGAGTAATGAAAATGACCACTAAAAGGCCGGGCCATTCAACAAATGTCTAAAATCAATTTAGCACCAACATCTAGTATATGTGTACACATATTTATTTCTAGCAGCGACTAGAAAAATATCAAAATATTTAGGGGCATAATTAACTAGCTCGAGTGGTTGGCAACAGCCAGTCACACGCTTGTTGACAACCAGTTTCAATGACTATGAAATCGGCAAATAAAATCATAAAATGGTTCGTCTATTTATGCTACGCAGGCCCCGGAGGGCGCCGACTATCAATAACAATGAGCAAAAGCAAAAAATCATGTACAATTATTTAGTTGTTGCCGATGATACGAAACAAATACACCAATAAACTCATACATATGTATATGATTTTTGTTTTTTGTCAACTTTTTTGTTGTTGTTTTTTTGTTCCAGCCGCCTGCCAAGGTCTGATAAGAACCGTGTGGCTGTGTTATTTTTATGATGCATAATTTTCTTTTTAAATTTTGTTATACATTTATCAAGTATCATTAAGGCTGCTTTACAGTGAAACCTGTCATACTGTCATACTGTTATTTGTATTTTACTGAGGCAAAACGCTTAAAGCATTTTATTTCAGTAATTGTCAATACTTAATAAAGTAAAAAAAAAACTTGGACAATTGAACGTCTAGCTATTTTTTCGCTTAATCCGTTTGTAGGGGCTTCACTGTATTGCACTCAAAAAAAGTGGGCGTGTGGCGCTATTTGCAGCTTGACAACAAAACGCCGTTTCGAGTGCCGTTAATCGTATATTTGTCACACTGTGCCCTATTTGCTGTGCTGCTCTAGTTCCAATTAGAAAACAAAACAAAAGCAAAAGCACGAAAAAAAAACGTTATTAAAAATAGAAGCAAAAATAAGTGCAAAACAAAAACAATCGTTGAAAAAGTTTTGCCAACGCGCTAGTTGAACAAAAAATTTTGTGAATTTTGCAAGGCATCGAATTTATGTTGGTGTCATTGCTGCTAGAAGAGGTGTAGGGGGTTAAACAACACTTGAAGGGTTTGGAAATCAAATGGGAACACGTGTAAAGACCAACCAGCTGCTTATGCAATTGGGCTAACTGTAAAGGAAAGGCCTAGGTAGCATATAGTCCATATGTATTTATATGCATGTGTGCCCGGGCAGCGTCAATGTAAACAATGTGTAGAGTGTGCGCGGGAGCAGGCAGTCAGAGGGGGCGGCTTGTGGGCAGGTCTGAATACGTATGCGTTGATTACATAATTGCAAAGACAAGAAACAAATGCAGCGCCTGTAGAGAAAAATCGATTTTTGCCAACAGTTGGCAAAATGTTTTTCCACGCCAACAACACAAAAGATGCCGGCCAAAAGAAGGCGCAGGCCAGAAAACGAGAGGTGGAAAAACGGACTGCTTATTAAAATACATACATACATATATCTTTTTATATTTTACCTCCTTTGGTGGGAATCCTGTGCGTGCTGTGCTGTGCACGGTAGCCGGTAATCATTTCGTAGTTGCCCGCATCGCGACGCAGCGGGAATGCAATCTCGATGATGTGGTCGCACGGTTGCATAAGCATAAGAATACCCTTTACCTTCTGCTTTTTCTCGTCCAGCGACAGTTTGCCCTTCATGTCGTCGATCAGACGATCTTCGGATATTTGGCAGCCGCGATGGAAGAAGTACTCGACCATGTCAAAGAAACGCGGATCCTTGGCGGTTGGCACGTCCTTGAGACGATCGGGAATTTGGTAATTGCGTGTCTGGAGCACAGCAGTGGGCAATGCCTTGGCCAAGGCGGTCAACTCCTGCTGGCGCATAGCACCCTGTCGGGCCAAACTCTTCAGGTGATACATGGTTTCTATACTACGCACACACAATTGCCACACCACACAAAATTCAAATGTTCTAAATTGGTACCACTCCTCAGAAGCTGCTGGCTAATACACAACCGCTTGCTTTTCGACGCCGCTCCAAACTGAGCACATTGAGGGACGCTCCATACCTTGAAAGCTTTTTCACCAGAACCGTGGTGAAATTAAAATTTGCCATGTCTAAAAGCGCGCGAAAACTAGTTATGAGTTCATGAGCACAGACCGCCTATCGATATTTACGGGTAATCAGATATCAAAATATCACAATGGATTTGATAAATATGTTGTGACAGCCATTGAATATGCATAACTTTTAATCTAAAAGAAACATTACAACTTGCTTTGTCACTGATCATTAACAATATCAGTCGATTTAGCTGCAATATCTATCGATTGTACTTCACTATCGAATAGATGAGCTGCAGACTGGCAACTCTCATTTTTTCACTACAGTTGGCAGCCCTTTTTTACGATATTCATAAATTGTTTTGCGAATTACAATTGCATATCTTCGCATATTAAAGAAGTAATCGCGTGTGTTTACCAAATTAAAGTTATAAACAATTTAAAGAGTGTTATCAACATGTTCTGCAAAGTAGGAAGGCAGCTGGGCCAGCAGATAGGCCAGCAAATACGTTTGACATCTCGCCGCATGTTAGCCACCACAAACACTTTATACAAAGGTAGTTAAAACACAGCGTGACATAATGTTTATCTAGTAAAATAATTATTTTTGCAGATGCCGCAGCCAAAGCAGAGTCAGAACCGGCACCGCCTAAAAGCATACTCGTGGAGAAGGATAAAAATATTACTTTAATCGGTATTAATCGTCCCCAGCAACGCAATGCCATCGATTCGAGTACCGCCTCTCAGCTTTGTGAGGCATTCTCCGCCTTCGAGGCGGATGATACCTCGCCGGTGGCCGTCCTGTATGGTGTGGGTGGATCGTTTTGCTCGGGCTTTGACATTCTTGAGATCAGCACCGACGAAAAGGAGGAGATAAGCGTTGATATTCTGATGAGACCCGAGGGATCTGTTGGTCCCACACGTCGCCAGATTAAAAAGCCGGTAATTTGCGGCATCAATGGCTACTGCATAGCCAATGGTCTGGAGCTGGCGCTCATGTGTGATTTGCGCGTCATGGAGGAGTCCGCTGTGCTGGGTTTCTTCAATCGGCGCTTTGGTGTGCCGATGCTAGACGGTGGCACTGTTCGCTTGCCCGCCATGATTGGACTCTCCCGTGCGCTGGATTTGATACTCACCGGACGCCCGGTGGGTTCACAAGAGGCGCATGATATTGGCCTAGTTAATCGTATTGTGCCCACAGGCACAGCGCTGGGCCATGCACTGGAGCTGGCCACTTGCTTGGCCAAATTTCCACAGCGTGCACTCAATCATGATCGCAACTCGGTTTACTCCGCCGCGTTTGAGACATCAACGTTCCACCAGGCGGTGCAGAACGAGGTAATGTACACATCACGCGAAATCATCGAGGACATGCAGAACGGCATCAAGTGGTTTAATAATAGTGAGTAGCTTCTTGTTTGTTGGTAGCTACAAATTTAATTTGATAACTTCATTCCATGCAGCGTTCAAGGCAGACACCACACATTCTTGGCTGAAACGCGACCGCTCCATGGCTGACTGGGATGATGAGGATGTGGCAGAAGCAGCAGCTCAAAAGGAGACCAAAAAGCAGGAGGAAGAAGCAGCACTTCTTAAGGCTGAGAAGCAGAAACTGGCAGAGAAGGCGCTCAAGAAGTCCAAGAAAGCAGTTGAAGCTAAACCTGAAGAAAAGTCCAGCGAAAAGGACAGCAGCAAAGTTAGCAGCGAAAAAACAGATCCAACCGAAAAACCAAAGGATAAATAAGGGCAACCTTAGTGTATAGAACTAAATTAAAACATTTTGTATATAATAACATCCTTACATGCAGTTCAGAACTGACAAACTTGAATTTGTTAATTTATTTAAATACATAACCGTGAACACTGAAACTATAAATATAAACATTTTTCAACTGACTGACTGACACTGATAATTCATTAAGAAAATCTTTGGAAATTCATTAAGTGTGATTCAAGTTGTATAGTATATATGTATATTTTAGGCACAATATATTCGATATTATTTTCAAAGTTGTAATCGGAAAAGCTCTACAACATTTTCCTTTCATTTGAGCATCAATGGAGGTTTTAGGTAGTAAGAATATATTTTCCCTTTTCTCCCGACTGAAAATTATAGAAAAACTTTCAATCCAGGCAAAGCCGGGTAATGCCGGCATTTTCATGAACTCAGAGCCAGGTGGCTTGTACGCACGACATCTAGATGGCGCTTTGGTTATCAGTAAGTAATTGATTTTAGCAGCGAGATAACCCGACTATCACGGTGTCAGCAGCCACACGTCGAGATTATGACTCAGATTTGACACCTAGACGCCTTCAAGATCGAGCGATCTTGCGCTACGTGCACTTTGAATTGCCATCGGGCATGTGCTCCAGCCGCATACGAGAGTGTTTGTCCACAGTTCAATAGGAATAAATTGCAACTATGAGAATTTCATTAAATCTGATTAAGTACAGTCATTAGTAGGTTTTATTCTGTAATCTGTTCGCAATGTCAACAGAGTTAAACAAATGGGCATATTTTGATTGAAAATTTTTGTATAAATACTGCGAGCAGGCGATGTTACAGTTTCAAACTATTTTCCATATTTTAGACGTGGTTGTGTCGCCAATTAAAACTGAAATTCTAAAATAAAAAGCTAAGCGAATTTAAGTTTAAAGAAGAAGGTAAATGGAAGAAGGCATCAAATTCGCTGTCATAATAAAACGTGCCCACAGTAAAAAGTCAGCTCTCTCCGGTCGTGGATGGCAGCAGTAAAGTTTGGTTCTTTGGTTTTCAGAAATTCTTCAATTGGCCCAAAGTACTTAGAGTAATTGTTGACTGGCTTCAGTCGCTGTATTTCCGCGAACAAGTGCAAATAGAATACTGATAAAACTGAATGTCATACACTTAATGCGAGCCTTTTAAACAACCATTTGATATTTAATTGCAAAAAGCACAGAAACACCGTCCTTATAGTGCGAACTACATGTTCATATCGAGAGCTTGAGAGATAAATAAGCCACATACCTAATTTGCTAGCTCCAGCCTATGTATTTGCTGAGTTCGGGGAGGCTAGATCAATTTCGTTTGAATGATGCCTAATTGCCGCTTGAATTACAGAAAAAATGCCACCAAACGCCGTACCCGGCCCGTCCAATGTGCTGGCCACATGCCCCGAAGCGGAGCAACTGACGCAACTGAGCAGTGAGAATGCGACGTCTTCCAAGCAGACCGGTGTGCTCTTTGAGGGTGATGCGGATACCAACGACTGCGCCTTGGATGTGGATGTAAAAAAGTTGAAAAAGGCCGAGAAACGCAAATTGAAATTGGTTTGGCGTAACATAATTCTCTTTGGCTATTTACATTTGGCCGCTGTCTACGGCGGCTTTTTGCTATTAACTCAGGCCAAATTGGCCACGGTTGTCTTCTGTAAGTAAAGACTTTCTTTCCCTTTCCGTACTTTGCTTTGACCCACTTCTTCTTTGACATCTTTGCAGCCATTTTCCTATATACTGCGGGCATGATTGGCATTACCGGCGGTGCTCATCGTCTCTGGGCTCATCGCTCCTACAAGGCAAAGTGGCCGCTACGCTTGATTTTGGTCACCTTCAATACGATCGCCTTTCAGGATGCCGCCTTTCATTGGGCGCGCGATCATCGTGTGCATCACAAGTTCTCCGAAACGGATGCCGATCCGCATAATGCGACACGTGGCTTCTTCTTCTCGCACGTCGGCTGGCTGCTGTGCAAGAAGCATCCCGATGTGGTCGCCAAGGGCAAGAGCCTGGATGTGTCCGATCTGCGCGCCGATCGCATACTCATGTTCCAGCTTAAGTGAGTAGCTAATAGCAACTAATACAAATCCAACTCTGACTAATCTCGGTATTTGGCAGACACTATTTTGTTCTAATGCCGCTGGCCTGCTTCATATTGCCCACCATCATACCCATAATGTGCTGGAACGAGTCGTTGTTGTGCTCCTGGTTTGTGGCCACCATGTTCCGCTGGTGCTTCCAATTGAACATGACCTGGCTGGTGAACAGCGCCGCCCACAAGTTCGGTGGACGCCCTTATGACAAGTATGTATTACCTGTAGTTGTGAATATATATATAAAACATATTTATTACCTATGTACAGGAACATCAATCCCTCACAAAGCCCATATGTATCGGCCGTTACCTTTGGCGAGGGCTGGCACAACTATCATCATGTCTTCCCCTGGGACTACAAGACAGCCGAGTGGGGCAAATATACGCTAAACATGACCACAGCATTCATCGATTTCTTTGCCAAGATCGGTTGGGCCTATGAACTGAAGTCGGTGGCGCCGGAGACCATTGAGCGGCGAGTGCGTCGCACTGGCGATGGAACACACGAGCTGTGGGGTTGGGGCGACAAGGATCTAACCTCAGAGGATGCACAGCACGTGCTGTTCGTTGACAAGAAGGCAGCATAGAACCTTGTGCCTGGGCACAAACAAACTTAATTATTATAACAATATTCTAATCTTAAGACATAATTACTTAATACAACGGGTTATATTTTCGATAGTAACAAAAACATATACAACAATATACATAATTAACTCTGATATCGCAATTGATGGATTTCGCTGGTGCGGTAATCGCTTTGTATGGATTGTGACGGAATTGTTATTGTTACGTCTAGACGGCTGGGGCCTGCAGGTGTTGTCGTGCTGATAAGCATTATCTCTAGCCATGTGCGTTCTAGGATTTGCTTTCGGGGCTTAGACAGCGTCAAAGTCTACGGTAGTATGGGACCGTTCTCTTTCTCGTACTTCTTCATCTTAAGATCTAGGATATGCAGCACAACTTCGGCCAGCGCCCTTGGCTGCACACCTGCCTCTATTAGCTCAACGCAAATTTCCAGTGCTTCGGTCGAGAGGCGCGTGTTGATTAGCTCCGACATGCCATGGACTGCAATGCGCAGGGATGGCGATTTGTTTACAACACTCTTCACCGTGCCTTGGTCAATAACTGCTGGGCCGAGTTCCTTATTCTGTCGGCTGTCGGTTTCATCCTGCTCAACCTCAGTATTGTTAAACTTATTATTTTCATTTTCATCCTGCTTTGACTCCCCAACTCCAGAATTGATCTCCATATTTTGGCTCTCATATTTGTCCATATTCTGCGTTTTAAATGCAGGTGTGTTTACCTTATCATCACTTGGCACCTCGGGTGCAGCATTCTCTTCCGTATTATGATCCCCATTTGGCTTCTCGATTTCAATTTCTCGATCCTGATTTGGATTTGTAGTAGTCCTGTCCATATCCTGTTCCCTATTCGACTCACTGGGTGCAGCAATGACAACCTTACTTTGAACATATTTTGGCAAATCATCTGGGGCAATGTTTACCGTTCCAAGATTCTCATTTGGCTCCTTAGCAATATTTGGGTCCTCATTTGGCTTCTCGTGTGCAGCAATGATTTCCTTATTTTGATCCTGATTTGCTTTCTCGAGAGGATTTTCGTCTTCGCCGCCTTGCTGAGACATGTTGTGGCGGCACCAGGGCAAATGCCAATTGCGATGGAACTAGGAATTATGCAGGTCAATAGGCGCAACGATAGGTCATCAAGCTGTGTATGCTATCGATTATAATTAAGTATCCTGCCGATACTGAGTAATCGTTGTAGACATACGAAATATATGGATTATTTTATTTTTTTGACAGCTGATGCAAACAGCTGTTAATGACTTTGTTTTTCGCAAAGACAAGATAGGTAACAATCAGAATAATGGAAAAGTACTAGAAAAGAATAACAAAAAAAATATAGCAAGCATAAGCAAACAAACATTAATGTGGAGCTAGATGTCAAATCGAAAGGTAGAGGTCACACACATATGTAATATCTTTAATATTGAGTTTATATCAACGGCATTTAAATCCCAACAGTTTTTACTACACTTCACAAAAATTTTATGATTTTTGTGAACAAAATACCTTACTATAAAATTACTTTATATGTAAATTAAGCTTTTTCAGTTTGCAAATATTGGCACAAAAAGTTATTTTAGCTAACCTCTAAAGAATTAATTTAATTTTGTAATTAGCAGATGCAGTGTACCTTTCAATATATAAATATATAAAACTTGTTACATATGTGCCTTACGCGACATTCGAGGTTTATTTTAACTGTTTCCTTAATATCGATACATTGCCCATGGCATTGAGTTTAAATATCGAGTTGATGGGGCTCGATATTTGCTTGTCAGCAATCCCGATACTTGGCATCTCTAATAATTAACTCACAGGCATTAATTGCAAGCAATTTTGCAGATTTCGGATATCTACCACAAAATTAATAAATAATCGTATCAAGTAAGTTGTTGCATATATATCAATATATATATATATATAAGTTTTGATTGACCTTGTGCAAAATCAAACATTGTAGTAGCTAGAGGTTGCCAAAATCTTCAGTAGCTGAGCTGAACACGTCCGCAGCTCGCTTTAAAGGTTAAAGGAATATATGTATGTATGTATATGCGAAATAACAATATTTTTTGTTTAGAAAGATTAGAACTGTGTGTCTGATGCGCAGCACAATCACATAGTGACACATTACTTTGCATGCAATGACGCAAGGTTTGGATTAGATTTCCCCCTAGGCATTGCTTGAAATCACGCGTTTTCTTTTAAAATGTTGCACAAATACACATCCATATGTCAATTCTATATAAAATAAATATATAGTTTAAGGGTTAAACAATTGACGTTCAGCTGTTGAGAACGAGCTGAACAGGCGCTAAAACGATTATAATCACGTTTAATCAAATTGACTTCAGAGTTCATCTGCCTTATAATTTTCCATGCGACCAATGCGCATATGCATGTCAAGTTACATTATTTGGAAAATTGTACAAACATATGTATATACTATAAGTATTGCATGTAGAAATTGCTTTTAATGTAGCTGCACGGACATCTGAAGCACGAATGTCGTTTACGTTAAAGCAACAGCTGTGCATATCGTTTACGTTCTTCGCCCAGTTATGCGTATTTAAAAGTATTTCACTATTATTTGGTTTAGCGAAGAATATGTCTCCGCTTTACCGTGCATATATACTTATTTATGTTTACCATATGCTGATCTTTGTCTTTTGTTAGACTTGACCAGATAGGCAAGCAGAAGTTGTTTGTTTAACAAAGCCAAACCATTAAATCACAAAACAAAATTTCGCAGAACTTTTAAATACTCTATTCTGATTGATCGGAATGCTAAGTGATATGAGAACCTAATACTTATATATATCTAATCAGATAATGTGAAAGGTTTCATGCCAAGATTCTCTTAAATTTCAAACATTTACATTACATTATATGCAAACTATTTATAAAGAACAATAGCATATTTCGCCTTGCAAATAGGGTATAAAATATCTTCTGTGGGGAGTTTACTTTTATTCAGTTTATCAACTTTTTTTCAATAGGTCAAAGTACAAAAGTGAACACGTTTGAAAGTTAACTATCAATATTCACTCAAATGGATTATTAATAGCATTACTACTCTGAACCCATATCAAAGATTATAAGTTAGTAATATTATTTGTACGATATCTATACAAATATTTTTATAACGGAGTACAGAGTGCATGCTTTGGAAATATATTTAAATTGTTGTGTACCTCCAGCAAATTTAACAATTTCCTTTTGGCCAGTTACATTATTAAAATTGATCTATTAACGATGCCCATAAGTTATTTGCGTAGGGCCCAAAATGCGATTTCAAAGTCATTTTCATTCATTATTGTGCTTTAAATTGATCCCGCAATATTTGCGCACTTCTCTGAGAAATGCATACGTGCAAATCTGAATGTTTGTTATCATCTCACAGCATCTCAATTGATCTACACCTGTATGTATGTACTTATGTTTAAGTGCTGATAAGTACATATACATATGTATGTATATGACAGATTGGCGTAAGCAAGCTTCGGGCGTATCAACAAATCGAAAGAAAGGGGCAGTAAAAGTTTTGCGTCGCTGCCAACGTCAAAGTTTTGCTCTGCGAAGAAAAAAAGTTTAAATTTTCACCACGCTGCCCAAGTTGCTCTCAGTTAGTGTTGAGACCGTAGAGCGTGCGGACGTATTAACGTTGGCTGTTCGCTTGTTACCCATACAAAAACTCAGTGCAAAAACAGTGACAAACTACAGTTTTTATTTGATTTTTACTTGAAAGAAAACCCGCGAAAAGCAAGGTTTATTAGCTTTGTCAACAAAACAGGTTAGTATTCGTTGCCGTTTGGCAGTTGCGACAGGATTTTCAAGTGTTTATGTAAACCATTAACTAACCCAAACGTGTGACTGTAGCCAAGTGACCAAAGAATATATAGAGAAAAAGACACTACCAAAAAAAAAGTGTTGTTGCGTTCTTCTTCTCTCTTACAGCCAAAAAAGAAAAAACTGCTATAAGTACTTTTTATTGCGCCCAAGCGATCCGATCATCAAGCATGCTAATCATTAAATTTTGAAGCTTGATTTTTTTTTTTTATAAGCTTCTCTTAACTTGTGAAGGCTGTACTTTAACGGTCAAAGCGTCTATTTGTCGAAGGTTAGAGACCTAGGCGCAAACACTCGGGGCCTTTCATAGTTAGCTTGGGGCATTTAGCTACTCGACCATGTACATATTTAACATACTAATATTATGACTCGCAGACTATACAATGAAACATAAATTATTACCGAAATATGCATATGTTATTCTTATGCCACGGTTGATTTGTTAATATGTATCTAAAAAGAGCGTACAGCCTAACATTATGTTAGCTCAATTACAGTTTCCGGAAATTGAAATGCACGTTTTTTTGTTATCGTAATGAATTCCGGCTAATGAACCCATGTTGTAAAAACTTAAAATGCAAAAACTGTATGGCGCACTCACTACAGTGTTGAAACATTCAATCAACAACAATGTAATATGACTTAATTAACATGAACTTTGTTTTTACAAAATGCTCCGCTTTAGCCTTGTTAATTGTACACTTACATTTAACGATGTGTCGTGTATCTAGCTAAATGCAACCAAATTTAACATATACTAAATTGAACAAGCTGCCGGAAAGCTCTTTTTTTCGCAAAATTAAGCACACAATTTAGCAGATTAGACGCATCAATAGAAAATGACCGAGACGACCCGATTTTACGCGTTGAGCAGAGCGAATCACGCTGTTGCAACGTGATGCCGGTCGGCGAATTAAGCTCCAGCCCAATTTCTCTTTCTCTCTCACGCTCTCTCGCTCTGTGTGTACGGGCATTGTCGCCAATGGGACTGCGTCAACTCAAATTTCAAGTTCAATATCAAAGCGGTTAGGCTGTATCACAGATACGAGGCCCGACATAATGAAAACTGGCAAAAAAAAAAAAATATGCAGGCATAGGCAGACGTTTGCCGGTTTTGCCACATTTCATGGTGCGTCTCTCTCCGCAAGAATAAACAGATGTTTACTTCACTTGTGCGCCATAGTAGAAAAGCTTTCGTAGGCGATCTTCTCTTTTAGTTATTTTCTAAATATTCTTTGAATTGAAAGTATACACACACACATACAACAATATTATACAAACAAACTCAACCGTATTTCTTGTTCTTGCTATCGTTCTGCCTCTGTCTTGCACTTTTGGTGGGTCGACCGAGTCTGGCGTAGACATCGTATGACTTCAAGCACACGTACACACACGTGGTTCATGTATCAATGTTATGATGTACGTACAAACCTACATATGTACATGTATGTGTATATGTTTGTTCTTTTGCATGTATGCGTGAGTGCAATGCAACCTCATCAATGCATTTTACAATGGAAAAAATACAAGCTTTGTTTTTCTTTGCCTGCTTAAGTCGACGTGTTTTATATTTTCGTTTATTTATTTAATTTTTTTTCTTTCTGTATATCAGTAACACATGATATTTCATCAGATTTTTGTTAAACCAGCAACTGGCCATTAGACCCATATTACCCGCTAAAAATGCGAAGCGATAAAGCAACGTGATTGAATGTCGTCAGTTATCGGCAGAATATAAAACCCTGACCCTGAATAATATATAAGCATCATTCGATGTCTGCCTTTGTATAGCTTATATTTCTTCTCATCGCTGCACACCTGTAAAAGCTTACCGGCACAACAAACCAATTTGGGTTGACCAAAGCTTACGCAAACAAAAAGCTTTAGCATACAGTTGCTTGGTGGCTTATGCGCAATTTTTCTACTCAACAGTTTAAAACTTAACCCCCAGTTGGCAGGTTGTCAAATAAGAACTTTTTATAAGTGAACAAAGGTAAACCAAACCAACCAGCCGCTCTGTAGCTGCATGTGTTAATATGTGTGTATGCATAAAATAAATAAATAGTGCATCTGCTAATTGATGTCGGTTTGCTTTTGCTTGAATAACAGTTATTATAGTCTCTTTAATTCCTAATTGCTGTTGCTAAGGTGTTAGTCTGTTTGTATAAGAAATTTGAAGCTAGGAAATTTTCCATGGCACAGACACACGCACACGTTAGCAAGCTAATGCCTGGCCTTCACATAAGGCGCCCAGTGACCCACATGTGTGTTTGTATGTGCCTACACACAAACTTGCAGAGGTGTGAATTGTGTGAGTCGTTTTCGACTGCAGTTGGCGCTCTCCGTTGATGCCGTTGTTGTTATTGTTGTTGTTGTCATGCCGACACTTTAATTATTAACCGTAAAATCTCTTAATGGACAGACGCCTTGAGCAGCCATCTGCATTAGCCGGTCGCACATTAAAGTCCCAATTTTTTTTTTTACCTTTTCAAAACTCCCCTTTTTTTTGCTCGTATGATAATTTTGTTGTTGTAAAATATCCCTGTTCCAGACAAACCAAATTTTTAACCAGGGAAATTTAGTTTAAGCTGGACTACAAAATAAAAGAGCAAATCAAGCAAAATTCACGACAATTTCTGATTTTGGTTATTATATTTTTTATGTCAAAATAGTGTCTCTTTAAAAAGCAATTTTTATTATGAAAATACATGGAATAATGTTTTAATTATAAAAAAAAATATGTATACCTGAAACCGAGAGTGTTCGCTCAAGCGCGCTTTCACTGTGTTGGCAGTTATCCTTCGCCAAGGACATGCACAAATTTATTGATTTTTTTCCATCAGCCTGCCTCAACGTAGGTCATGGTGCTCAAGGCTTAGCCTGACAATAAATTGTTCCATACGGCAGCATATTGCAAGGTAAATTATTGTAATTAACGTTAAGTAACGGGCAGCAACAATTTACGAGCTGAGCAATAAAGACCAGGCGGCCACGACGACACCTTTAAGAGCGCGCCTAGGGTGGCAGCTATAGGTAAAGCGTGTCAAGTTCAGCTTAGCCAATTTGTTTAGTTAATTGCCCAACCAATTAATTTGAAATTTAATGTGCATTATGTTATTGTTTTGTTTTGTTTTATTTTGTTGCAGTAACTGGTGCCACAATATGCCGCCCAACGCAACCGCCGGAGGGCAGTCGATTACCGACTCGCTTATCTCGGCCGCTGCCACAGCAGCCGCCGAATCGGAGCAGAATCCCACCAAGCTGCAGCAGGACTCGACCGGTGTGCTCTTCGAGTGCGATGCCGAGACCATCGATGGCGGCCTCGTAAAGGACATCGTCTCCATGAAAAAGGCCGACAGGCGAAAACTGAAACTCGTCTGGCGCAATATAATTCTATTCGGCTATTTGCACTTGGCCGCACTCTACGGCGCTTGGCTGATCTTCACCTCAGCCAAATGGCAGACAATTGCTTTGGGTAAGTGGACAGACACGCAGATAGCCTCAATCACCTCAATCATCAATATTTTCCGATGTTTATTCATTTCTGACATCTTTCCGTCGCGTGCCGCGCATTAAAATTGCGAGGTTATCAGCGTGTTGTTTTTTATTTCAAATTTGGCGCTGATAACATTGAGCAAAGTCGTATCGTAGTCCGCAAGTCCAGAATCAAAATTAGCATAATGCCTAATTCAACTTGCATGTTTAATGCGGTTTGATTATAAAACGTATTCAAGTGAACGCTCTCCAAATAGAACACTTCGATTGCAAAGGTGTTTCTCATTTGCAACTTAAGAAGTCCTATTTGCTTTTATCAACTTAACTTATGCTTAATATATCTCTTAAAATTGCTGTTCAATAATCAATGAGAGAATATAAGTAAAGAAAATTAAATTCCCTTTTCTTGTTTGAAATGCGCATATTCTGATTGGGTTCTTATTTAAAGAATGCCTAATTTACGAGGTCAGGCGGAACTCTATTTCTAGCTGTTCCAAGTATAGACCCTTGCCCTTGCCCCATTATTCATCCGACTAGTAGCAGTTGTTTTGCTGTCAACATTCTTAGTGTAAAGAAACAATTAGACTTAAACGTAGAGCGTACAAGTTCTTACACACACACACACACACACACACACAAACACACGAACGTATAATACACTTGTACAAAACAAATGGATAACTTTCGAGTGCCCCGCAAGGTCAATCGGCATGTGCTGAAGGCCGTCAGATACATCACTGATAACGAGGATCTGGAATATGCGCCATTCTCAGTCATACAAGAGCACGTGAAGTACTCGATGCGTAATGGAAATCCTGTGCATCGTCTAGATGATTGCATCAAATCCTCGCTGCATAACTTGACCTTTCTGGGCATACTCTCTGCCAGCGATGATAGCAAATCATATGCCATACGCAACATTGGGGACATGCTTATTAAATCAAAGAATCGAGCGCAAATTGATCATGATCAGCCAGAGCCAGTGTAAAACTGTTTATTTATATTTGTAAAATGAAAAAATTATAGTAGTAATGGGAAAATACATATTAAACAACTCGCTAATTTTATAATGCCATAATCGTTGTTAATTTGTATTAACTAAGATATATAATTAATATCCTTATGCTCTTTTTACAGCTTTCATTCTTTATGCTGTCTCTGGCTTGGGCATTACTGCTGGCGCTCATCGTCTGTGGGCCCATCGTTCGTACAAGGCTAAGTGGCCGTTGCGCGTGATTTTGGTGTTATTCAATACGGTGGCCTTCCAGGATGCCGCCTTCCATTGGGCTCGCGATCATCGTGTGCATCACAAGTACTCGGAAACCGATGCCGATCCACACAATGCCACACGTGGCTTCTTCTTCTCGCATATTGGCTGGCTGCTGTGCAAGAAGCATCCCGAGGTGAAGGCCAAGGGCAAGGGTGTTGATCTGTCCGATCTGCGCGCCGATCCCGTCCTGATGTTCCAGAAGAGGTGAGTGCTTATACCAATTTGTCTACCTTTGGCTCAATTATGTTCTCGCATTTAGACACTACATGATCCTGATGCCCCTGGCCTGTTTCATTCTGCCTACTGTGGCGCCCATGTACTTCTGGAATGAGACCTTGATGAATGCCTGGTTTGTGGCCACCATGTTCCGCTGGTGCTTCATTCTGAATGTGACCTGGCTGGTAAATAGTGCCGCACACAAATTCGGTGGCCGTCCCTATGACAGGTGAGTCAATATCTGGAAGAGCCGCAGTAGCATTTTTTTGACTGCTTTCTACTTGTTATTAGATTCATCAATCCTTCGGAGAACATTTCTGTTGCGTTGCTCGCTTTCGGTGAGGGTTGGCACAACTATCATCATGTGTTCCCCTGGGACTACAAGACCGCTGAGTTTGGCAGATATTCGCTAAATCTGACCACGGCCTTCATTGATTTCTTTGCCAAGATTGGCTGGGCTTACGACCTAAAGAGCGTCTCCCCCGACATTATCAAGAAGCGTGTGAAGCGCACCGGCGATGGTACCCACGCCACCTGGGGCTGGGGCGATAAGGATCAGCCCAAGGAGGAGATCGATGATGCCGTGATTACACACAAAAAGAGCGAATAAATTAAAAGCGTATTTCGCGCTAAAGCCAGAATGAATTGAATCAAATGATAAACAGAATCAGAGAAACAACATAATGAAAGAAAATTTCAATTTTACACATGCCGGCTAAAGGATATTCAAAGCAGCATAGCAAAAAAAAAAAAAACATACAAACAGAAACCCTTTAAATAATTTTAAGAAATGATGTTGTTGATAAATATCTGTTGTTTATCAATAACTGTGTACCGTCTGTGTTAAACCAGCTCTGGAAATTGTTTTTTCGCTCCACATTTGATTTATTGGAGATGCATGGAGTCAGTCGATCTGGACGCCAGCCAAGTGTACAAAGTACCCCGCTGGACAGCAACTAGACGGCAGCCAGAAAAAAAATTATCTTTATACTTATACATACACATACCATGCTATATACTATTACTTATGTTATAAACAAAAAAACAAATTTTGATTTATGGTTCAATTGGAAATATATCGAGCCTCACTCCAGTTTGTAGCAAGCGAAGAATTCAATTAAATGTAATGAAATTGATTATAACTATAAATACCTGCAGAAAGAACACACACTCTACAAAAGATTTTAGTATTTATAGTAAACCAAAAAGAACTAACACAAAAGGAATCATTATATATTATATGTTTACGATATAATAAACGATCTATGTTAGACACACAAAACCTCTTGAACACTTACATGAATTTTGCAAAATTGTTATAAATAAAATCGAAAATCTCTTCGTTTTAGCTTTTAAACAGTAGACTTTGCCTTTCACTCGAAGCTCAAACAGTCGACGCCTGTTTGGGACTTCACACAATATTTCCGAAATTCGTACAGAATAGAACACAATCTATATACGAAGCAAATGAGAATATAGTAAGAATTTTACAAAAAAAAATTAACTCTAACAAAATTATTGTTTTAACATTCAATGTTTGACATGGATCAGTTCAATGTGCCCAAGAAGGTCAACCGACACGTCTTTAAAGCCGTCTCCGTATTGCAGACTTCGCGGTCGGGCTTCGTGTCTGCCGAGCTGATCAACCAGCACGTTAAACGCCAATTGCGCCGCAGCAAGAATATGCCCAATTTGGATGGCATCATACATCAGTCGCTGGCTAATCTGACTAATCTTGGCGTGCTGGCCTGTACTGGCTCCTCGGATTATGCCATACGGCACACCATCAAGTGCTCCACCGATGAATATTCTCTGGTATCGATTCCCATGTCCAAGGTAGATACCTCGGCAGCAGCATCTCGCAAGCGAAGCCCATGTTCCAATCCGGTGCGAGTGATTAGCGCCGATTCAGCGGGTAATGTTAGGCTAAGTAAACGGGTACCGCGCAACAGGAAAGGTTCGGTCAAAACCGTTAAACGTGGTCCTGCATCGAGGACAAAGCGAGTACGTGCTCCGTCTCTGCGCCAAAAAAGGAGTAGCCAACGTCGGCCGTCGATAATGTGCATTGCTTGCCGCTCGGCCCTAATGGATTTGGTCAAAATATGTCAAATGATTAATCAGTGCAGTAGCATGGACGCACACGTAACTCCAAGGACAAGCGGAACACATATGGTAGCTGAAAACGAAGCTGACTTGCACCGTGAATCCGCTATACCCATGGCCATGGAAATAGAGCCTGATGTAGTTCCCCAGGATTCGCCTATGTACGCACCAAGCTATGATAATTCTCAAGGTTATCACGCCAATCATTCTGCTTAAGATGCTCTGGCTTTAATTTAATTTATATAAGCTTTGAGAAAAAAAATTCAAAATATCCCTAAAAATGTTTGTATTCAAATAAAATTTACTACACATCAAGCCGCCTGATTTTCGATCGTCCAAACAATCGATTATTGCAAATACTAGATTGTGGCGGTTGCTCGTCAGTCGATTAAACTGAGCAGCTGATGCTGTTATCGTATTAACAGTGCCATTTTGAGCTAACATTAACATTAACATTATAATTAACATTGTGTATATTTACACATTCTCTTTTTTATTTCAATCCACTCTCAAACCTCATCACATACACATTAACCCAACGTCAAACTTTTTGGTGTCTTTCGATTTAAATTCTCCGTGAAGCTTCTTTTGGGTTGCTAATTATTGTTTAGGCAATTGTTTAACAATATGCATAAATAAAATTGTGTTTTTATGTTTTGATTTTAACCCGCGCTGAGCATCAAAATTCGTTGTCGCTGGTAACGTCTCCGTCGCCTCCTCCGTATCAGTCATCGTCTTGCTTGTGACGTCAAATGCTGCGCGTCTGATATGCACAATATAAACAAATAAATAAAACTACACAAAATTGTACTAATCAAGACAAGTAAAGAATAAATACAAGTCAAAATGGAGATGAAATTCGTAATGATAATAATACTTGGCTTTGGTTTTATGTTTGTTTTTACTGCATTTCAAACAATGTGTAATATTGAGGTAAGTTCTGAGTGTGCGTCCGGGCTTTTGTGTGTATGCGTGGGCGTTGTTGACAATCCCTGCGCCAGAGCGCTATTTTCGTCCTTGTCCTTGCCAATAGACGTTGTAGTAGCCTTGGCATACGTGGCGTCGTCGTTTGTCAGTTATTGCCAGCCAACTCCCACTAACTAAAACACACACATACACACACCCACAACCACATATTAGCTGATGCACACAAAGAAAGCGATTCATTCAATTACCATTTGAGTAAATTACACTGATTTCAGTCTGTGTAAAGTAACGGGCTGCCCTAGATGTTGTTGTTGTTGTTGTTGTATATCGTGTTTCTAATCAATTCTAAGACGCTGTTTGCTAAAGCTTCGGCTCGTTAGTATAATACGATAATATTTCATGACTGATAACGCAATATTTTGCAGCCGCTAACTTCATTCATCATTTATTTGGTCGCATATGCATAAATACATTTAATGCAATTGGAGACTTGCTTGCATTCAATTGACGAGCTCAAAAGTCAACTTCCATTACGAGTCAACTCCCTTTGTCAAAGGGCAGATTGTCAATTAACTGGCGGCGAGATGCTTCTCACAGTGTAAACGTGCTGACATTGATAGGCCTTTGTGGTCCGATAACAAGAAAACGCCCACACAAATTAAGCTTGTGTTATGGGGTATGCCTTTGTATTTGCTTATTCCCTTCTGACATTATAATAATTACAAACATTTAATGTTTTTTATGGCTGCATATATATAGCTTCATTACTGCGTCCATTCACATGTTGGCTTACATAGCGGTTTATTCAGGCTTTTGTCCGGGTTCTGTGTTAACAGTGTTAAGATGAAGGTCGCTCGTTGTGTATACATACATATACATATACATATATGTATGTATAGAACTAAACTGCGCTGTGCGAATTCAGTTATTCGAAATGCCTTGCAAATGATTGCAACATTTTGTCATTACATTTGTAACACCTATAGCAAATGCAGCATTCTGTTTCTCTACATTTTTAACATGTTCATTTAAAATGGGAATTTTTTAGAAACAAAACCCCAATATTGTAACCACTTTCAGTACCCTTAGTATATTTTTTCGTCCTAGCAAAACTATTTTGAACTTCAAGCAAAAGCATTAATTAATATAGAATTTTTTAGATACAGTTTTTATTATTAGAATAAGCGGTTTTTAACTGATTCCGGAAAATGTTTAGCCAAAACAAGTGTATTGTTACGTCGGCGCGTTAAAATAACGTGTTATTTCAATCGTCTTTTTTTTTTTGTTGAAATTCAGGTTTTTTGTTTTGTATGCTAAGCACTTTTTTATCGCTTGCCTTTTGGAAAGCAATCTGAAACGGAATAACTCAATGCAGTGTGTTTTATATTGAACATTTACTCATCATAATTACATTCTGTTATGGTACGTAGTTCATTGAACCGTTTTCAAAAACCGTTATGGTGCAGCTTTAAATTTGAACCTGTGACGTTTTTTGAATCTTCACTGCTTTGTTTGACAGTAACCAAGTTTTATTTAATTAATGAGCAGAGTATTGTGTATATATGTACATATATTGCATACATGTAGCTCTCACTTTTATAGCAACCTGTACTTTGTGCAATTTGCCCTCCAGTTGATTCGTTTCTTGTTTTCTTTTTATATTGTTAAATAATTTACTACGCTCCACATCGAAGTGAGTTGGAATTCCAAGCAGGGCGTGCACCAAACACCGCTTACAAAACTTATAGAGGAATAAAAACGATCGATCGACCAGTCGTAGCCAATACATACAGTGTATATACTATATCTGTGTGGCCCATTAGAGCGCAATTTTGGTGCAAAAGGCCTTGGCATGTGGCGCAATCTATCCATAGGCACGCTAGTACACTTACTATGGACTTATCCAAGAGCTGCGTAAAGCTAGCGATTATCTTGGAAATTCGAGAACTGACCCAAAAATAAATTCGGATAACTCCAACTACTATGCAAATATAAAAGAAAATCCGTAAATGCTCTCTTTAAAATATTTTTAATGTGATTAGCTCGCTTCAAAGCGCGGACTTATCTGGTTCGTTTGTGCAAGCATACATAACATACGTATGTATAATCAATGTAAACAAGCATTCAAAAACGTAAACTGTTAACAACATGTACAACTGCTTAACATTCAATTACTATGTATGTGCGCACATGTCAAAGGGAAATTAAGAAGGAACCAGTTCGCTTAGCAACAAGCAATGCTACAAATTTGTAACTGTAAATACATATTTAACGAATTTTGGTCAGTTTATCAACCCGATCATAACTACTAATTTTCCACATGATTGCGCAATCAAGTACAAAATATTGTTCACAATGTAGGTTGCAAGCAACTGTGTGTGTGTGCGCTAACGCATCAAAGTCAACTCTTTCAATGTCATTGCAAATGCAAGTTCGCCGCACACACACACACACACACACTCACACACAGCATACATGCACAGGCTCAAGGCCAGACTGACCAGCGTATGCATTTGGTTAACATGCAAACAGAAATACAGCGCACACACTAACATAAATATAGCAAAAGTGTTGTTAAACGACGCAAAACTGCGCCTGTCCCATTGGCCGAGCATAATAACCGTTAGACGCCAACTGCAACGTCATTACTCAACCCAAAAAAGTGGGTGCGCCATAGACGAGCCCACCAGGACCCCCGCCCACCTGCTCCCCCCTCATTGTAGTTGTCTACAACAGAAAGAAAAAATAAAAACAACTACCCAATGAAACTTGTTTCAGCATTTTGTTTTCCAGGCCTTCTTTTTGGCGCCACATTCGTATTGTTAAAGAGTTGTCGCACCAGTTGATATTTGCGTAACATGCGCATAACTCTTTATATCAGATCTCGGCGCTCAATAGGTTTGCAGCAGCTTTTAATTCCGGCTGCGTTTTTGCAGTCTTTACTTTTGTTTATAGTTTGGGCCATTGACTTTCACATGGCTGCATACATACATACATACGTATGTTAAGGCCTTCTTTTTTTAAGACTTTGTCTCTCATGTAGTATTTGCACAAAACTTGACCCACTTTTGAAAGTGCAACTTTATTTTTTTTTTCATTTCTTATTTTAATGTTCATTGTTTGTGTGCTCCAGAGTCGCCATTGAGCTGATTATAACTCTAGTTCTCTTATCAGTTTATTGTTGTTGTACGCATTTAAGACTAACCAGCGGTATTTATGATTACATAAAGCTTATATGTATACGTATGTGTGTGTGTGTGTGTAGGTGCAAGTCTTATGGATTTGTTGAGGCTCTGATAACAGCGATTTATAATATGGAAAGCCGTAATTCATAGATTTTTGCTTAATAAATACCAATTTTCGTCAAAAGATAACACCTTTTATTTTTCATTAATGGCAATTAAAACTGTTGGAATTGGTTTTAGAATCAAACTTGGTCGCATCGCCAACAGGAGAGTGCATCATTTTTTGGAGTGCCGACTGTTAAATACCCTTGCAAATGTGTGATATTTTTCTTTCTTTTTAAACAACTTTTGTTTGTTGGACTTAAATGATATAGCTGTCAGATGTTGATAAGCGTGTTCAATTATAGTAATTAAATGCCAAGTTCGGTTAGCTTAGGAAATACATAAAAATTCAAAGCTCACCTTATGAAAATATTAGCAAATATGTTTTAAATTGTTAACTACGATACGATACGTAGCTGCGTTTTAAGCCTGCGTGTTGATAAATTCCTGCATTCACAACAAAACATTTGACTTTCACTTTCCCCACTGTCATTGACTTTTTGCACACGTCCGACAATCTCGAGAGGGGGCTAGCTGAAAGATCAACAAAGTACCTAGTTCTTGGCGTACTACAGATAATACAGCTGACAACTTGACTTCTTAATGGGCACAAGGACTGGCCGACAATACGTACGGTGCGTAATCAATGCAAATCGTATTGGTGTCAGAGTCAAGTAGACGATAACGATATCATTTCGTTTTCAAAACTTTCAGACACAATCCTTCGGCTTGAGCGTGGAAAATTTTTTGCACAGACAAAACACGTTTCGTCGACGTCTGTGGCACGTAATTTTCCATAAATACTAATTAATTCGCATGCAAAATGTGGCAGCGGGGCAGCCATGCAAGAATTTTCAGCTGCAGCTGTCATTGCACTTGAATTTAGCCGTAAAACTTGTTTAAAGCTGATTTGCAAATTGACTAAAAATATATTTATAAACACATAAAGGTATACATACAGCTATGTAGTTGACAAACTCAGGCGCAGGCGTGATCTAGACAAAAGCCGTGCCCAAATGGAAACAACGCCCACCACATCCGCATCCGCATCCGCATAGGAAACGCTTAAACTGGAAGTTTCAGCTAGTCTAACCCTGAGCAGTCAGCACGTGCTTAAAATTCAAGCAAATCATTTAAAATCTATATGGTATTTGTATAACCTGAAAACAGGTGAATGAAAGGGCGGGTATATTGGTTTTAGTAGCAGAAGGCCATCCCCGGCATTATAAAGTATAAATTTATTCTTGATCAGGATAGTTTACAATACGAAAATTAAAATAGAAGCTCTTGAAAATCTAAGTTCTTCTTAATTCGATAAGTGACATAACTTAACTGAAATTCGATAAATATCGATTTTCAACCTCTTTCTGTAAATATGAGAGCTAGAGAAAACAAAAGTTCACATTTAAAAAAAAAAATTATATTATACTTTCTTTGATAGCATCTCCCATTAATCCCAAAAATGAATACAAGTTTTATTGTTGTATATAGCCTTAAGTTTTGGTATATTTACACATTTGAAACATGTCCGATACATGCATTTTAGGAGTTATTTTAGAATGCATTCTTCAAAATTTGTGCTAAGGGGAAAAGGTCTTATCGTGTGTATATGTATGTATGTATTTGAATGTTTGTACATTTGTTGCAAACATGACTTTAGGGTATCGTATAACCAGTCATTATTGACTAAATGACTTATTTATGTGTATACGTGTGGATAGAGGTATGTATTGCAAAGCTGGTTGCAGGACATCTTCTAGTCGGTCATTCCTGACTTAAAACCTGTTCGTATATGTATGTGTGGATATAAGTAAGAATATACATACTATATATATAAGCCAGTGGCAGGGTATCTTCTAGTCGGTCATTCTTGACTAAATGACCTTTTCGTATGTGCATGTGTGGATAGAAGTGAGAGCGAATATAAATATATTGCAAAGCAGGATATCTTCTAGTCGGTCATTCCTGAATAAATAACTTATTTGTATGTGAATGTGTGGATATAATATATACATATATTATTTATAAGCCAGTGGCAGGGTATATTCCAGTCGGACATTCGTTACTAATTAACTTATTTGTATGTGCATACAAACATTATATAAAAGCCAGTGGAAGGGTATCTGCTAGTCGTTCATTGTTGACTAAATAACTTACTTGTTAGTCACTTTTGCTCAGAACATGTTTATTGAATTTGCGGGACACGTTTTGATACAAATTATTTTGCATAATATAATAATTAAATATTTTATTTACTACGCAGAAAACCATATTGGATAGCATATCGCAGGAGGATGACAGCTTTAAAGGCGATGGCTACACCAGCCTGGCCATACTCTATCTGTTCTTTTCACTCTCCAATTGGCTGGCGCCATCCTTCATATCCTTTACAGGACCGCGCGTGGCAATGGTTGTGGGCGCGTCCACCTACACGTGAGTACTTGTCACATTTGTGTATGCACATATAGCAATAAATATCCTTGTGCTACGTTCCGCAGGCTCTTCATGATCACATTCCTGTTCCCGTCGACGGCACTGCTGTATGTGGCCAGCGCCGTGCTGGGTCTGGGCGCCTCGATCACCTGGACGGGTCAGGGCACCTATTTGGCGCGGTGCAGCAATGCGGAGACAATTTCCCGCAATTCGGGCATCTTTTGGGCCCTGCTGCAGTGCAGCATGTTCTTTGGCAATCTGTTTGTCTACTATCAGTTCCAGGACAAGACGCACATCGATACGGAGACGCGTAATCTGGTCATTGGAGTGCTTACCGGTGTGGCTATATTGGGCATTGTGTTTTTGGCTGCGCTGCGCTTCATGGCCAGCAATGCGGAACAGGATAACGAACTGGAGCACCAGCACACGGGCTGTGGCCAGGCGCTGTATGCTCTCAAACTGGCCGGCAAACTGTTCTGCACCAAGCGAATGCTGCTGCTCAGCCTGGCTTTCTTCTATACAGGTGGGTTTCGATCAGCTAATTTGTCGACTGTTCCGCCTTTAACTGGATTTATGTTTGACTTTAGGTCTGGAGCTCTCGTTCTTCAGCGGCGTGTTTGGCTCGTCCATTGGCTTTACCTCGAAAATCGCCTCAACGCCCAAGGAAATTGTTGGCCTGGTGGGCATTTGCATTGGCGTCGGCGAGGTCTTTGGCGGCGGCTTCTTTGGCATTTTGGCCTCAAAGACGACACGTTTTGGACGCGATCCGATTGTTATTGCCGGCTATGTGCTGCACATGGCTGCCTATCTGATGATATTCCTCAACTTGCCCAACAGCGCACCGTTTACGGATACCACCGATATATCTTATTTGGATCCACCCAGCGCCACCATGGCTCTAGTCTGCGCCTTTCTGCTGGGTCTGGGCGACGCCTGCTTCAACACCCAGGTCTATTCCATGCTGGGCGGCGAATTTGTTAACAATCCTGTGGGCGCATTTGCTCTATTCAAGTTCACACAATCCGTGGCGGCGGCCATCAGTTTCTTTTACTCCTCGCACTTTGGCCTGTACGTCCAACTGGCCATTCTGGTGGCCACCGGCACCATTGGCACAGTCGCTTTTGTTATTGTTGAATGGAGCTTTAAGCGGGAGCATCGCGAAATGGAGAAGTAGATTAGTTTGTCGCTTGCAGAGTAGTTTAATTCGTAACAAATTTAATGCTGTTTGTATGTAAGATTAGTACTTGTATTGAAACTGAGATTGCTTAGGGTAATGCACGCTTTTGTGTGTATATATATATATATATATATGTATCTGCATACATATGTATGTGTCCTATGTACGTATGAATGCATATATGTTCATTGTTTGTTAAAACCCTTCGTGCGTGCATTTGCACGTGCGCCGGCGTCTTCCTATACATATGCAATAATAGTTAATTGTTGATCGCTAATGTTGCTATATGTATGAATGTTTGTTTTTTAATGTTGAACATCCAAAACGTAATCATAATTGTAGTTGTAATTGTTTTTTATATAAATTTATAAATATATATATGTATATGTGTATGTATTTGTTTATCTATGTTAATTTATTTAATGCATAAAAGTAAACGTGCAATTGTAAATTTATATTGTCTACAATAACAAATGCAGCGCGCAGTTTGCATATGCACTGCGAGCATTAAATATACACGTATTTGACGATAAAATCGTACGACTTTTGTTTTTTTTTTGAAAAATATGCCTATTTGAAATCTAAGTATTTCGAATGAACTAGCCAAGAATATGCTATTTCTTATCTTAAAATATAACATAAAAATTTAAAGTTTCAAATTTTAACGAAATTGCGCCACAATAACACACGCCTTCCAGCACTGGCCACAGTTGGCTAATCCTTCGTCAAGTTATTGTTTAGTTTATCTTATAGATTCATTTCGTTCCATTCCGTTGCGTCGTTCAGTTTCAGTTCCATTTTGCCGCACACTGTAGTTGTCGAGCAACGCTTGTCGAGACCGGACGTGCTGTGTATTTTGTCGCTGCGCATAACTATTGGGCACGCATTGCGGGTGTTTGTGTTAATAATTGCGAATAAAACTACTGTATAGTCGGCGGAAGCAACAAAAACAACTGCCGCTAAATCCATTGAACAAATTCAATAATCAAAACGTGTAGAATTTTAAGTTGACGCTGTATCTATGTGTGTTCGTTGTGCAAAGTAGAAATGGCAAAAAGCAAAAGTAGCCAGCAAATGTGTGTGTGTGTGTTATTTTATTGCTATTAACGGCGGCAAATTAGCATTAAATCATTAAGCACTGCTTATAAAATACTTGAAGCGGCACAGGCTAAAGTACAACTGCACATCGATTCAGCTCCGAATGCAACGCGTAGGTAACTTTAATAATTAGCAATATTGTATATGTAGGTGTGTTTGTGTGTAAATATGTGTGTGTGTTCCGAAACCTTGAGAAATTTGTTTGGTATGTGAACCAAGTGCCAGCATAAAAACAAAAGCATTTCCAATTCATGCAGGCGCAACAGCAGCAGCTGCCTCAGCTGACAGCAGCAGCAGTAGCAGCGACGCGGCAGAATCTCTACGCCTACGCCAGCGACGACGTCATCTGAACGCATTTCGCTTTTCATTTTCTGTTTGTCGTCTGCCGTTGAACAGACTGTTGTGGAGGGGGAGGGTCGCACAAATAACTCGATAGTTGTCTCTTCTACCAGAGCAATGTGTGTCCCATGTGACCGCTGTCTCTGTCTGTGTCTTTGTCTATGTGTGTGTGTCTATGTAGCTGCTCCTTGTGCGCTTTGGCTTGGTCATCGCTACTTTTACGTATTCCGTCTCCGTCTGTGTCTGTCTCTGTTTCTCCTTTCATTCATTTTCTTCAGTTTATTGAATGCTCTACGCTTGGGTCAACAAACCAAATGACTGCAACTTCATCTTTGTTTGTGTTGGTGTTTGTCTCTCTTCTATTTAGCCATTGATCGCGTCCGGTGATTTGATCAACGTCGCTGTCGCCGCCGGCTTTTACACTTCACTTTACTTTGTTTTTATTGGTGTCATTAAAAATTGCTGTTTGGGAAAGGTCAATCACAAACATACACACACTAAGAGAGATTTGTGTTGTCCCTGGACCATTAGAAAAAACCGGTTCTTCTTTATACCCTGTTTGAAAAATTAAAAAAGGCATATTCCTTGTAGAAGATAAAAGACTAAAACTAGGCAAAAATTGGACAGCAAGGGAGTTATCTATTAGAAAAGTATTAATTTTATAGCCTACAGTTTTAAGGTCACAGTATTACAGTTTTAGAGGCACGAGCGGGTAATCCAGCAGATTTTTTTGGAATTCCATACAGATGTTTTTACACAGGGAATAGAGTATGGTGCAGTTGGCAGCTTTCAATTCCAAAGCTTTATATATTTTTTATTTTTTTGTGGATGCCACAATAGCACCAGAGACTTTTTGCACGTTCGAACTTCATTATCTTTTGGAGTTTGTTTTTTTCCCAGCAGTGAAATTCATCTTCATCTGCTTTTCTTTGGCGACATGCCCTTTTTTCTTGGCACCGTCTCAATAGCCTAGAACTTGAGCGAAAATAAAAAGAAACACCAAAATAGGTTTTGCCAGTAATGAATGTGTTTTTGTTGTTGTTTCGGTTCGGCTCTCACCTTGCGGCCAACTAATCAGGGCCAACTCAAGAACCAAACAAAAACAAACCAAAACTAAACAAACGTCAAGCTCGAAAGCGTTTTTTCTTGTTTTTGTGTCATTGGTGTTAATTTGGTTAGAGGCGTCATAACACCTCGAGTCTGACTTACAGTGCCTTAATTTATTAGCCTGTTAAGTGCGCTGGCGAGATTAGATTAGCTGAGAGAAAAGCTAGATGTCGACTCTGATATACCCATGAATCTTAATGTTAATATTACATTAACATTACCCATAATATTAACATTAACATTCACATTACTGTGCAAGTTCATGTTCATTATACTGTTAACATTATTGTTATTGGTAATGTTATTCGTAAGTCGAATGTTAATGTTAAGCTTCTGTAACGAGCTTTACAGAAATATGTTAGTAACATTACAACATTTGCCTATTGCTCTGTAAATGAACAGATGACCAATGTTAGCTAAAATGAATTCCCTTTGCTTCAACAATATCTCATTTTCTGATTTTCAGAGCATATATTAAACTAAATATATTGACTATTTCATTTCTAATTTAAAAGCCTTGCACTAACTTCCTAATTTATTATAGCGTGTAGATGCAATCTATTATATCAGTTTACCTACTAGACCTGCTTGTTATACAGTAGTGCCACCCACTTATCATCAAGAGGTATTTAAAATTTTTGCGCTATCGCTAATTTAATTAATCATCAGATGCCAATGTTGTGGTTGTTGTCGTTGTTGTTTTGTGTCTGATGTTGTTGTTGCGCCTTTCGCTGAGCTCAGCAGCAAAGAAAAGCAAAAACTTAATTCACTTTCAACTTGAAGTTGACTAGTGAAGTGGCAAGGCCTTTTGCCGGCACGTTAATAAAAAATGGCAACAATAACAAGCCCATTCGCGGCAAAGTCAACTTTTTCGCTCGTTAGCGCTTGTGTAGATACAGCCACAGATACAGACAATATAATTGTATATGCATGTATCTTAGAGGTACTTGTTGTACTTAACGGGCAATATAGCATATGCCGCTCTCGCTCGCTCCCTCTCTCTGTCTTTCTCTATCTCATATACTTTCTTGTTAGTTTTTAATTTGTTTTCGCCTTGCATAGATTTTGGCATTGGCATCCCCACACACAGCAAAGGCATCTTTGTATCTGACTATCTTTATATCTCTGCATCTTTATCTATGTAACGAGCGTGGCAAATGCAAAGAGTCGTTTGACTTTCGTTGCGCCCAGTTTGGCGCTGTGATAAGTTTAGGACCAAACTAGTTTTTTTAATTTTTTTTGGCGCTTTCAAGATATACAATTGCACGCGCGTACGTATCCAAAAGATACATATGTATCTTGCACTCTGTTGCCGCATAATTGCCGCAAGCGAAGCGTTAAAGCATAGCAGCGCTCTGTTAATTCTGTTACAGAACCGAACCCAACTGGCAATGCACATGTAAATTTCTTTACAGCTAACGGCCTGCCAATTATGCTGTCATAAATGAAAGAAGAAGCTACCACATTAAAACAAGCCAACCATTCCAGTTTGTGGCCGTCTCTCTTAATGGCATGCAAATGTTGCTGGCCGACAACTTTCTCAGACATTAAGACACATTGTAAAAACAACGTTGCACTTAAACCCATTAGACTAATGATGCAGTCGCAGGTACACATACAAAAAGTACACATATACATTAGTTTAACAGTTAACATCTGTCCCAATGTTATCCAGATCAGCCAGAAGGGTTGTTTCTTTAGAAACTTGCCAACTTAACCCTCGAAATATGCGAAATGCTAGAAATGCATTTTGCTCCTTGAATTGTTACTTTTCTTTTACTGATCTAAGTAAGTCATTCAACAATCAGGATACGGATTCGAATCCCTGTGAATGCTGAATGCCTCTTTACATACAAATTAAGTTGATGTTTGTATTAGAGTCCTGCAAATTTCTCTACGAAATGGCAAACGACACATTCAAACATTCGTTTCGACCAACTTTCTCGAACGAATATAACTAAGTTTCCTGTTTCCATTTACTAGGACCGGATGCATGCTTAGACTCTAACTAGCGGTACATGCAAGTGTGTGCGTTGGACGAACATTAACAAGTAGGCTTTTGAGATGATTGACTCCAATTCAAACATGTTCAAAATTCGCACTCTTTCTTTTTATACCCTTGCATAGGGCAAAGAATGATTATAAAAAGAGGAGTAGTCTCCAAAGGCTCAACGAGCAGAAATGCAAATAGTCAAAAACAGAGTAGAAAATGAAGTGAGAACAAGTACCTCAATGTTACGTTTGTATTTTAAAGCCATGTCCATACTTGAAGGCAGCCGGATAATTCGGCAGACTGTTCGCTTTGCTTTGTGCATTTGCTACTTGTTTTCTTGTGCTCATTCGATTTTAGCTTTTATTTTGGGTAACTCGTTGCTTGAAGCAAAAACTGAACGAAATCGATTTAGGTTTTGCGTTTAGTTTTGTTCAACTAAATGTTTGGCATCAAACGTAGACGGTTTTAGAGAATTTCGGAAGCAGTTGCTAGCAAATATATATCCCATCGTAAAGTTAATAATTATATATTCGAAAAAATAGAAATTGTAGAAATAAATACCTAAAATGAATATTATTATTTATGAAATTCTGAATATTTATAAAATTCTTTTTATGTTTCCTTTTTTTTAGCACTCTTAAATGTAGAATTTACTGGTCAATGTAATCTGAAAGTGCTAATTTTAAAGCGAATGCTTTAATTAAAAAAGTATAGCAAATTAACCTTGTCACATTTAAAAATTTTCCGAACTTTTACTTCAGAGATTTTACCTGTACAGCTTTAAGGTCTACAGGCTTTTAACATAGTTTATACTCAAATCGTTTTATCAGCTTTAAACTAATTTTAAGGCTCTACACCGAACCAGTTCAACCGGGCCCAAACTTTGGATTTATCTCAACATATTTGATAAATTCCAATTGTGCGTAGAGTTCAAATCTAACCCGCGACTTCTCTATGAAAATACAAAGGATATGCAATATTTTCAATTATTTGTGAATTATATTAAATTACCGTTCGAATTTCAGAAATACAAGAAAAACCAAGTTTTTAGATAAATTCTGGCTTCCAGATGTGGGAAAAGAGGGTCACGAACCGATCCTAAAGGCACGAAGCCGTTGCGAACCGTTGAACCAGCGACTTTTATTTTGGCCCAAAGAAAACTTAACTTAATAACTTTTATTTGAACTCGAATAACACCCAAGTTGATTAAAAGTTGAAAAACCTAACTTGAGCTAGTTGGGTTAGTTTCTTCTTGCCTGCTAACCGCGAAAATTTTGTCTGTTGCAGCTGCATGGAAACCCACAAAATGCAAATTGCAAACGGCATACAAGTACTTCATTATCTTAAGATCACAACTTGTGTGTTGAGTGTGTGTGCACTTCGCTTGCCACTTGCCCCTTGCCCCTTCCTATAAATGGTCAGTTGTATACCACCTTGCCACCCTGCCACCCTGCCAACTATTGTTTAACCTCTTGTCGGCTATCTGTCTCCTGGTTACCAAAACTTGACAATATGTTTACTCTCGCGCACTTCACGCTTTGCATTTCGATAAAAGTGCTGTTGTTTACTTTTCATCAATAAAATGTTTGTGCAGTACCACGGCTACACAAACATTCAGCAACAACAGCAACAACAACACGCAAGATAAAGCTAAAGAAAAATAGAAAATAGACAGGTGTTTTCCGGCATTGGCATACGTAAACTGACGTTTTCTTTCTGCCAGTTTTGCTATTTGATCATTGTCTCTATGTTCATTCTTACCCTCAACTATAACAAAGTATCTCTTTGGTTACCAGACTTTGTTATACCCTGTAATTATCGTAGGGTTTGACAGATTTTCTTAATTGTGGCTAACAGGCTAAGGAGAATTTCTTGGAATCTATCGTGTATATATATATATATATATATACGTATATTCTGAGAGGACAACCGCATGTAAAATCTACTCCTGATAACTATGAAGCTTGCAATTCGCAACTGGTTAAAGCTTCGACGGGCGGATAAGTCGCTTACAAGAGGAGAGAAGAGAGAAGCGCAGTCACTGTCTGAGTTCTGCATATCAGCATGTCTGTATGTTATTACTAATGCATGTTGTTGAGCTTAGTACAGAGTATCTTCTAGTCAAGCAGCATAGACTCAAGAACTTTTGCTAGTTACCCTGCTGTTTGGCAAGTTTTTCATGGTCGAATGCCAACATGTTGCGAAGCGACAGACATGCCTTGAAATGAAGACGAGCCAAACGCAGACATTGAATGGAACTTTTGTTAAATAACAATAAAAAGAAATTCTCGTCATTTTCTTACTACTTCCATTTGTTTTTTTTGCAGGCGAGCGACTCGTTTTGCATAGAAATGACAACCACAACGCAGATGGAGATCAACACCAACGGGAACGGGAACGGCAACGCCAGCTTGGATGGCAGCGCCGTGACCACAATGGCAACTGCAACCAACACCAACTCCAACTCCGGCAGGGCCAGCCCAGAGCTGGCCAAAGCCCATCCAGTGTCCAAGAGTCCAGGCGCCGTGGGCGCGGGCGTGCCAAGCACACAAAGAGGTGAGCACTTGGCTGGCCACGAAATATGCTTAAAAATAAAAAAAAAACTCTGCAGCTAAATGCTGTTAATTTTCCAACACACTTCTGTTGGCAGCGGCACGCGATATTCCACAGTTCCATGTCAACCAAAAGCTAGATGAGACCAATGTCTGAGCTGGCCACAACACAATTGTCGCACGCAATTTCCGCTGGCAAACAAACATAACAGGCAGCTGTTTAAATAATTTGTCAATGGGCATAAATGCCCGCACATAGACGTAGCTATAGACATGTATCTGTAACTGTATATGTATAGAAATTGGAGTTGAAAACACCTTTCTAAGTGGAGCTCTTTATAAATAGCCCGAGTTTTTTGTTACATTCCATACAATAACTCATTAATAATGCCTCAAATTAGAAGTACTTGGGAATATCTCCATATATAGTATACAAATGTTTGTTCTGACTGATCAAATCGTAGAAGCTGTAATTTTTATTGTAGTTACCTTCTGTGACGGGATTTTGAGAAATTCCACCAGCAAGTGTAGAAAAATCGCAAAAAAAAACGTTGTGTGAAACTATTTTGTTTGCCTCAAACTCATTTTCAATGTTCTTTGTTCAAATTTATTTGAATTTGCTAGCTGTGTCGCCCTTTTGTTGCTTATAATTCTCAAGTAGTTTTAGCTTCACACTGTTGCTAAGGTCTTGCAAGTCTGGAGTCAATAGCAAACTCTGCAAATTATAGAATCGGAAGGTTCTTGAAAAGGCTATACAGACAACTTGATCACCCTTGGTGCTTATAACTTGTTGTTGTTCACCCTTGACAGTCAAGTTAAAAGGTTAAGGTTAAGCTGAGGTTAAGTGCCTAATGAGATTTTGTCGCATTAATTTGGGAGGTATTTCACAATTTTCTGAAAAATTACGTCTTCTTGGGGGAAAGAGAGGTCAAGGATTTGGTGGATTTCGGGCTCAAACTCATTTCCAAGGATCTTTATGAAAATTCATGTCAGACGTGTTTCACACTTCGTTAAATCCGCCCCCTTAGCTCGAAAATGTGGGTTGGATGAATGATAGTTTTTTTCGCTTATTAGATTTTCACCACAAGACTAAAATTGGCGAAGGACTCTAAATCAAATTTTGGTTCAAGATAGAGTTCGATCGTACCTAGTGTAAAATACGTGGAGGCGTGTGGAAAAGTGAAAATCAGCTAATAGTATAAATAATGATTATTAAGCTTCATAAACTGTAACGTAATATTATTGAAATTTTTAGAATCGATCCAATTGCCTTTAGAACTGATATTGTTTATTTACGTACAACACTTTAATTGGCAATAATTGAGCCTTTCGTATTAAATTCCATACGCACATCTCCATAATTTTTTTATACGCTTTCATTTATCTGAAAATATTTTGTAGCTTACATAGTTCAGATACATTCAGATATCTAGAAATATTTTATGGCTTACATACTTGAGGCAAATACAAATGGAAGAATGCGCTTATCATTTTTGCTTGCTTCTTGCTTATGCGATGCCCATTTGCATTTATTTATCTTTATTATTCATCCCATTTGTTAAATAGTCTATAAAATATAATATAAAATAACAACAGTTGCCTGGATCGGAGAACTATATCGTTAAGCAAACGTTCAAAAAAAGATTTAAATAAATTAACAAGGCTCAGCTATATGTACCTATATTTATGGGCAACATCTTATTATCATGGTATTTTATGTACCATTAAAGAACACATCGTCGAAATATATCCCACCTGAGTTATATATTTAGAAAAGTATTTAATGTTCTGCACTTCGAAAATTTCAGTTCTATTGATGTTTATTCCTTGAACCCTTTTAAAATGGGTAAAGAGTGTACATGAGTTTTGTATAAACTTTTATATAAAGGGTATAATTTTTTTGTGATAATGTATGTAACAGGCAGAAGGAATCATCTCCGACCCCATTGCAGCATCAATAGCCGAGTCTATCTAGCTATGTCCGTCTGTTCGTACGTTTGATCGCGACGATCTCAGAACCTATTCGACCATATTAGACGAGTTACATACATACATATGAAGTATCTTTCATATCTTGGCCATCAAATAAATGGATCAACCTACAAATATACGAATATCAACTCATTGAGATTTGGTACAGGGTATTCCCTAATCGGACACACCCGACTAACGCACTCTTAGCTGTTATTGTTATGCGAGTAAAAAGCATTTTCTTTTTATCTCTCAACTTCAACTCTTGAGACATTTGATTTATAATTTATATAATTTACTTGAATCCCAACTAACTCTTTCTATCTTACAATCTCAGATGAGAATTTACATAAAAGTTTTCTCATGCCCCCAGCTGTCTGTGCTATCTATTCCAGCTCGTTTTGCATATATTTTTCAATTCTCATTCATCGTTTTATTCAAGTTTTCTTATTATTTCCTTTTCAATTCCCTTAACGCATGTGATGGTTATTTACCCCTTCCCCCTTTACGAAACTCGCTGTAATTTTCTCAATGCTTTTCATAATTGCAAATTTGTTGTGCAACATTTAAAAACTGAACAAATTATACAAAGTTGTGTCATTCGAAAGTTCCCCCATGCAGACGCTAATTTGTGATTTGTGTGATTAGTTGGGCCCCCGAAGCATCTGCTTTCTGTTGCAATTAGAAAGGCCTGCATCATATTGGTTCCACGGCGTGCCAGGTGGCGACTCTCTTCGCGTCCCCAACTCACCGACGTGTGTGTACAGCGTGTGTGTGTGTGTGTGCAAGTTCACGGTCAGTGATTGATTTAATTTCAATTGGGGGCTATTATGAAATCTATACACGCGATCTGACATTGAAATTGGGTAAGCGATGCGAATGCGATTCGAATTGGGAACAATGTACTAAATGCTTGCCAATTAAGCCAGAGCTGGGGTGGAGGTGGGCGCAGTAGGCTTTACTGTAACCAGTAGCAGCTAATGATTAGATTCAAGGGCGGAAGCTAACAATGCGAACTGTGCACATGCAACACATATAACATCATCAATTGTTTGGAAAATAACGTTAGATCCGATATGTAGTTACATGTACCTCAGAATAGACTAGTCATCCATTGTTTATAATATTGCTAGTGAGCATATCCTATACTAATATATGAAGCCTGCAAGCTGGTTTAAACCCAGCTCCAATTTTATATTTCACATGAACCGAACCTAAAAGCACAGAAGTTGGATTAAATTCTAACTACCGAAATAAGTTTGAGTCGAAAGGGTTTCAAAACCACTTTATAATATATGAAAAATGATTGACTTTATTCTATTTAACATAGTAAAACATAAGACGAACCGAGGTTAGAACCAAAACCTGGGCTCATAGATTTGAAATGCCAGGTTAAAGTGCAGACTGCAGAGAATCATGAACCGAACCACAATTAGTTTTAAGTTTGGAGTCATGTTTTCAATGCAAAACACGGCTTTGTTTTCGGAAATCTCTCTTGAGATGGGGCCGCGATAAAGGTCTACAGGGGCGTAAGGGGGCACGCTATAAATAATTAAAGTTATTAAAGTACTGCTTGCGGTTGTGAATAATTGATAGAAATTAATTGTTTCTCAAAATAAAAATGAATTTCTATACTTATATCTGATCCGGGTACGAGTTCCAGTCTGTTGTATGGATTCAATAAGGTTGGGGCCGAAGAAGAATTTAACAATAACAATTATAATAATTATAACAATAATAAAAAATAATAATAATAATAAAACAATACTAATTGTAATAATAATAATATCGAAAATAGAGGTAAGTTATAACAATAATAATAAAACTAATACTTTTAATAATAGTATATAAAATAATAAAATAAATACTCACAATATTAAGAACAAAAAGAACAATGAGAATACCAATAATAATATAATAATAATAACAATAACAATACTAACAATAAAAATATTTAAATTAATAATATTAATAATACTAATATAAAAATAATAATTATATTGGTAAAATTAATAATAATATTAAAACTAAATTATGTTTTGATATAATATGACTAATAGCAATGATAATAATAATAATACCTATATTAATATAATGAGTAAATAATAATAATATTATTATATTAAGTTTGCCAATGAAGATTTTTGATATCTTGCCGAAAGCTTTCCGTTTCCTTCTAATGAGTTTTCAAGAAATGCGTTTGCAGTGTGAGCTCTGGACTTGAGCCTTGGCTCTAAATTTAGGATTCGCTTGAAACGGAGACATGTGCTTGCATGTACATGTATGTGTGTGTGTATGCGTGCGCCTGTCTTGGCGAATGTATTGTTTTCGAGGCATATATCATTAGCTGACTTGGCTAGCCACCACCATTTATGTATGTATGTATGTAGCCCGTATGCGCGCCTTAATTCCTGGCTGCTCCTTGTTCTTGCCACATCCGCTTTAATAACTCGCTCACATGCTATTTATAGCACCCTCATGGCCACCCTGCGCCAAAAACGTACACGCCCCTCGCCATGATCGCCATCAACTAGAACCACAAGAACAACAGCAACAGCAACAACTAACAAGGGCAGCTCTCTGCGAGACTTTTGCTAAATTTAAACGGACTGTGTAAGCCTCTGGGGGAACGCATCGGAGTCGCCAGCGACAGCGACGGCGACGGCGGCTTGCGCATGTGGCTGGAATGCGGGGCATATGACTCCCATGGAGTCATGGTCTATTCAATTATGCATTGGATTGCCATTGAAGGCAGCTGCTCTCCGCGTCCCGCCCACATGTTTTTGCATACAATTACCGGTTTGCGAATGAAACTCTAACGTTGACAAAGCCGAGGAGAAAACGCTGGCGCTCGAATTCCCAACGAATTCAAATATTTAGCTAACTGAAACCAAAACAAAAACAGAAAACTGAACAACAACAAAAATACTCTAATCAAAAGTGCTCGAACAGAAGATACCCTCTAGCCAGCATGTGCCTGTTTTTTCAACTGCAAAATTGCATTTTTGAATAACTTTTGCGTTTACTATAAAGTATACATATCTATATATATTTCTTGATCAGCGGCAATAGCCGAGTTGATATAGCCATTTCCGTTTGCGAACTTGTTTATCAGTCATAAAGATATTGTCTCTAATCTTCGTATAGGTCTGTCTTTTTGCTATAGACAGCCGATCTGAACAAGCCGGGCCGGACCACTATATAATTAATATTAGCTGCCATAGGAGCAAACAATCAGAAAGTTAACTTATTATTTGAAAACCTTGTTGCTATCAATTAGTTTTAGCCAAATCCTATCCATATCGCACTTCTAGGAAGAATCGGTCGAAAAATTAGTTTTTGTATGGCAAAATATTTATTATATTAATATTAATTTTAATATTTTGCCTTCCAGGGTATTTTTTGGACTTTTAAGGAACTATACAACCCATTTTTTAATAAATATTAGCATTTATTTTTGACACTCTCTATAAAGAAAAATGTATAGTTTTTGTTAAGCTTTGCCCGCAACTTTTGATTTGCATAGCTACAATATACGCCTTGCTATCCATTTTCGATAAGTGCAGGGTATATGAAGACCAAAAAGCGAATATCAATGCGAGAGAAAACTCGTTTTGAGAATGCGCAACGCGACATTTTTGTGGGCTGAAATAATCCAAAGCGGGCATTCAGAGAGCTTTTAAGCCTGGCTAGCAGCCAATTGGGCTCTGAGTCATTTGTGTTTTCGCAATGCGCCAGTGCAGTCTGTGATTGATAATTGTTGGCTCTAATTAAAAGCCAAATAGGAAAAGGCTAAAGGTGAACAACGCAACTGGCTGTGGATTGCCAAGCGGCCTGTGCTGTCGTTTTGACCCAGTTCAATTAAATTACCCAATCAAAAGCAAGCGCAACTAATCGATTGATTTCATTTTTCAGCTGTGGATGCCACCAAACGCAAGAAACTGAAATCACGCAGCGCCGCAACAGCAACAACAACAGCAGCGGCAGCAGCAGCTGCAACGGGCACAACAACAACATCCAGCAAAAACAAAAGCAGCAGCAGCAATGGCAGCGCACGCGAGCAATATGCCAAGGATCATTTAGATGCTTGGCTGGAGAATTGCCTGCGGGATGCGACAAATGCGCAATTGTCCTCGTCATCGGAATTCTTGGATTTTAATCCAGCAGCAGCAGCTGGCAAAACGCTGGCAGCTGCCGCGGCACAGCAGCAACAACAGCAGCAACAGCAACTTCAGCAGCAGCAGCAACAACAGCAACAACAGCAGCAGCAACAGCAGCAACAACAGCAACAACAACAACAACAGCAGCAGCAGCAGCAATTTCTGATGCGTTCGCAGTCGCAACCTTTTGGCATGGGCGCTGCCACGCCCTTTAGCCTGGGCATACAACGCGTGAGTGTTGGCCATTAAGGCCTGTAACTGTTTGTGGTCAAAATAGTTAACTGTTTCTCTTATTGCCCAGCACTCCCAGCCGCTTAGCTATCGCTACCCAATGCTCTTTCCGCAACAGCCCAATGGCTACGGGCTGGGCTTTGGCCTGCCGCTGCCTGGCGATGGTGGGCAGGAGTTTGCCAGCCTGCCGCCGCTGGTCAATATGCTGGGCGGCTTTGGCGCCAGCCCAGAGCACGACCAGAACTCCACAGATGTCCTAGATGGCAGCGGCAGCAATCCGAACATTAGCCGCGGGTAAAACAATTATCCAACTTCCAATTGGGGAACGACAATAATTTATTTTATTGTTGTTGCAGCTTTCGCTTTAGTGATCCCTGCCTGCTGAATCCCTCGGACAATGATTCCAAGCTAAGCGGTCAGAATACGCCGGACTGTCGCAATGGCAATGGCGCCCCTGGCGCGGGCATTGGCAATGGCAATGTCGACTCGGAGCACCAGAATAAATTCTTTGCCGCGCTAATGGAACAGATTAACATTTTGCACGAAACGAATTCCAAAATTTGTCGCAATTTGCACGAAACGAAAGGTGCGTGCGCCGCATAAGGGATATCCAATTATAGCCTGTACCCATTAAACATGATTTAGGAAAGGGTATATTGCAGTTGTGCAACAAGGCGGAAGCTGCGAGAAAAATCTACACAACATGGATCAATGCAAATAGCCGAATCGATTTGAACATGTCCGTCTGTCTGCAAATATGGAATATAGATTCTCGTAGATCTTAATTAGTCCTGTATATATATGTAAGGAGGATAGTGAAACTGAGTTAACAACCGATTGGAGTCACAGATGTCTCATTCCAGAGATCCCTCTAGAGGGGTATAAAAACAGCACCAACTACATTTGCAAGCTGGGTACAGGGTATATCCCAGTCGGGCGCCCTCGACTAGAGCTCTTTTATTTGTTTATTCTTACATTGTACATACATTGGAAGACAGTCTGTAAATTCGTTGAATACTTATACAATAATTCTGTATACTCTATCCTAGTTGTAAAGTCCTTTGGCTCTCTTTAACTGTTCTTGCTGCTGTTGTTAAAATTGTAATTGTTGAAAATTTTAAAAGTTTCTGTATTTACACGCTGTTCTAAATTATGTATTTTGTATGCATTTATTTTTGTTCGTATTCGCTGTGTATTTTCGTTTACCTTTTTTTCGCCTATCTATCTTTTACACACACTGCACACTACGTAAATACACACACACACACACACACAGTCGATATCGAAGCTTTGAAGCACGCTCCCAATGGCCAGCCCTGGGCTGGTGGCGGGGGCATGCGGCACCGTAGAGATAGCTTGAGCGGATTAAGCACACAAAGTCAGCCCTTGGTATTTGGCGGCGGATTCGGTGGCACTCACAGTCCAGCGCCCACCTTTCATTCAGGTATATATACACACACACACAAGCCTACACATACACGCCACTTCCTACACACCTGCTCAAGCAGCTCCGTATTAATCCGAGCTCTTGGCTATTTTTTAGGCGCCTACACGCCCGGCATGATGACGGATGTGGTGCGCGAGGTGAAGGAGGCGGCGCGCGTCCGCGAGGATGCGCTGATTAATCGGTAAGTCGCCAGATCGTTCAAGACCTCAGCAAGTACTCACAATCCGAATCCCCCTACACAGCGTCAAGTCCATGGTGGAGGAGCGCCAGTGGACCATGAGTGAGGGCAACGTGCGCATACTGCGTGACATAGATGAGCTAAAGGTATGTCCACATTGAGCTTTGTCAAACTGATTAATGCAGCGCTCATTTTCCAGTCCCATGTGATGCAGCTGCGCGTCGAGCGCAAGGAGACGAACAAGCGTGTGTCCCATCTCGAGGCGGAGAACAAATATTTGCGCCAGGCCTTGGCCAGCTTATTCAATCAACGTCAGGCGTATCACGACATTATATACGAGAACGAACGCGCTCGTGCCGCACGCAGCAAGGCTCCTTTCGGGTTTCCCAATGGCGGCGCTCGACGCGCACACTCCCTAAATCTGCACTATGGCACTGTGCATCAGGCGCCGGCGCAGCCCACACAGCTGCTGGATGAGGATGATGAGGGGCAGCCGGAGGACGAGGATAATGAGGAGCTGGCGTTGAGTGCGGCGGGAAGCAAGCGTCTGTCCAGCTCCAGCAATGAATCTCGCACCAATGGCCTGGCCACGCCCACAGCAAAACAGCCGCAAGCCCAGCCAGTGCAAAGTCCGCCCAAGTTTGCATTGTTAGCGGAGCAGTTGGCATCGACGCCTACGCCCACGCCCCCGCCGCCGCTGCTGCCGCGCAAAAAGGAGCATGCCCAACTGAAGCGCGAACTCAGCGAAGCGACCAGCGCACGTAAGGAGGCCAATCAGCGTATCATTGCGTGGGTGTAGTCTATGCTCTATATGGTTCTTTTATTTATCTCTATATGTGCAAGCTGTTAATCCATTAACCCGACCTTTCAATCGCACCTCTCTCATTTCGCATGCATGCAGCGCTTTGATGCCGCACCAATAACCCATTTCGCATCATGTTTAAGCGTATCCGGTGACTAAACACAACAAAACTCACTCACAGTATTTTTTTTTTTGCATTTCTGCTCTTCTCGTTCTAACTTTCTGTCTTGCGCGGAAAAAAACAAACAAACAAAAACAAATACCTGCTGTTTCGATCAACTGCTTTTAGACTCGAAAAATTGGTTAAAGACCTAAGCGCCCAGGTGGCCAGCCAGCCGAATTGGAATCCAGGTGTGACGCCAAGCACCGCTGCCACGGCCAACAGACTCAGCCTCGCCGGCGGACCCATTACGGACTTATAGTTCTAGCTAACCGGCTGCGGCGATGCCAACGCGCCCGGCACCAGACACCACAAGACAGCAGCCGGTTTGCGTGTGACACACTTATAGCAGGCACCAAATCCTCGGGGCGACCGGCAACAGCGGCGACTGCACACATTTCGTTTCAAAATTATTTATAGCTCACTGACCTATGCGTAAAACAAAACAACAACAACAACAACAAGACCATGTTTAATACACACATAAGCCAAAAGATCGTGTTAAGTTTACGACATGTTGGTCGTATTCCAAAGGCCAAATCCCCCAATCCAGCATTTTATAATTGTGTCCCAAATCCTCAGGCCGCACAAAATATCAGTTGACCCCACACAATTTGTAACTAAAACCATTTAGTAACTACACTTACCTACAACTATTAACTTTGTAACTAATAGCGAGAATCGTGTACCTATATAGACATACATACATATATACTTGATAACAAGCGAACAAAAATCAAAATCTATTAAGATCTAATTGTTTTGTTAAGGGATGCAATCACTTTACACATACGTACGTTCATCAATGTTGTTGTGCAGTGTATTAGTATTAATCACTATTTTTTAATAACTTACATTAAACAGATTTAGGTGCCATTTGATATAAACAACCATAACATGTTTTATTTAATCACCAGGCATTAAGCCACGCCCAGGTCTGGAATTGCTTTAACATACATTCTTATTTATATATAAACAAGTTTGTTAATACGCATGCACGATTATATTATGGCCATCTATAAGTAGGTGGGAAACAGAATTTGATTTAGAGGTGTTTAGAGTAAAGGCAGGAGAAAGAAAGAGAATGTTAAGAATTGAGAGAGAAATACAGTGTAGTCGGCAAAATTGATGTGAGAGAAAGCCCAGCGATACAACTTCTAAAATTGCCAAAACAAACTGTTAACAACACTTATAATCAAAGAATGAAAACCTTTAAGACATACCTAAATTCATGAGAATCGCAAAGTAGGGCTACAAGTTCAAAAATGTTTTTCTAATTTGATGCACAGCGGATGAAGTTTTCAAAAATTGCAGATAAATTGGTCTATGTTTGGTATAAGAGTACATGTAGACATACACAACTACATACAAACATGCATAACATGCACATGTTTATGTTCATACACACATGCATACCTATTCCATACAAACATAGATGTATATAGTGGCTAAATTTCAAAAACCATTCGAAACAGATCAAATTTTGTTGTAATAAATCATGCCATAATTGACAAAAGTTGATAAAAATAAAATTCCCGGATCCATAACATACACCCTTCCTTTCGAAGATCTCAGAACTTTATCAAAACTGAAACAATTTTCATGCCCTCTAGATTGATTCTGCAAATTAATTTAATAAATTCTGGAAAATACAATTTTCAGATTCGTTTGACTAAAGCAGAATAAAAAGACGATAATTCTAGTTTAATCATACATATGATACATACATATATGTGCATTTATTGAGAACATTTCGTCAGATAAACACAATCATACATAGGAATAAAGTAAAACTAATAAAATGAATTAAACTTGGGCTCCTCCATTGCAGCCAGCCCTTGCATGCGATTAACTCACAGATAGAGCTGATGACGCCTCCAGTGGCCAGTTTCGTGGCCAAATGGTCGAATCAAGGCTTATAACGCATCTAAATAAATACACAAGTTGATATTATGAGCCAAGTTATTGGAATAAATATGTTAAGTGTGTGTGTATGTGTGTTTGTGAGTGTGCGTGTGCGAGTGTAGGTGTAGGTGCGCTCTACATACATTGTGCCGCCATGTCGCTGCTGTCAATGCCCAGCATAGCCAACTCATCCAGCTCCGCCTGGCGTCTCAACTTCTCACTGTCTGTGGGCGAGTCGGGTGGTTGGGGTATGTCGCCGACATTAAACAGTTCCTCGGTTTTGGCCTTGACCTCTTCAATGGGGTCCGCTGGTGCCGGTGAGCCAGGCATTGGTATGTCTTGCGCCACCAACTGTTTCAGGCTGTTTGTGTGTGGCATTTGGTTTTCCGCGCTGCCATTCGCTTGTGGATAGACACCTTGGGACGACTCATCTGCACTTATTTGCATGGGCGAATCGTTTGATTTTGCCGCGTCATCAATTATGGAGGATGGCATTGAGCTCGACGTGGTTTCCTCAATGGATACCAGATGTATTCCCTGCTTAGCCAAATCCTGTAGATTGTGTTCGTCTAGCACAGGCTCATCCTCCACAATGGTGGTTATAGTTTGCGGCACGGCCGGCATATGGTTGGTCTCATCGGATTCGGCGTCCGCTGGTCTCTCCGCTGGGAATATAATGTCGAGCGCCTCAGCCAGATCCTTCGGCAGCTCACCGTCGCGTGTTGTTTTTGCCGCTACCATCGGCTGAGGCACCAGATCCGTTTCGGCCTCATCAATGCCTGGAGGTAGAACGTCCTCCTCACCATTGTCCTCGCTCGCCAGCTGATCTGCGTTCAGGGACTCGTTGCCATCGATATTTGAACTGTCGCCAGGCGGCGGCGGTGGCGGGCAATGTGTCATTAAATTGGCAAACTGCACTGGATCGGGCATTAGCTCATCATAGTCCATCATCATGCCGGCATCGGGATGAAAAGGTGGCGCATTGCCAAAAGCATCCTCCATCATGGCCATTTGGATTTGTGCCGCTGTCGGCGCATTCTGGCGTGCAGTGTTCGCCATGGCCATTGGCGGCGGCGGTGGTGGTGGTGGCCCCACTGGTAAATTGTCCATGGTGCCGCCATTGGTGTAGACGCTTGGATCACTGTAGCCAGTAATCGGCGCAGCAACTGGCTGCTTTTTCAGCACTGGCATTTTGCCAATGAAGGGCAACTTTTTGCCTGTATTGGCTGCGGTGCTTGTATTGCTCTTGGCCACCTTTGGCTTCACCACCGTGTCCTTTTTGTCGCGTTTGGCATCGTTCTGCTTGCGCTCGGGCAGTGTACGCGGCCGGAACTCGGCTGGCTTGACCACAGGCCGCTCAACGCGCTCACCAGAGTGACTGCGACTGCGACTCCGACGCCAGCGAGCGTCACGTGAGCGACTGCGTCGTCCGCCGCGCATAGGCGAGCGAGAGTTGCGTCTTCGACCGCGGCTGCGCGAGCGGGTGCGTGAACGACGCCGATCACGATCGCGTTCACGTTCACGGTCTCGCTCACGGTCCCGCTCACGGCCACGATCGCGATCACGATCACGCTCCCGGTCGCGCCGATCGCGGTCGATACGTCCGCGGCTGCCACTGCGTGGGGATGGACTGCTTCGCTTGGAGGCGGGACGCCGTGACTTCTCATCAGCTGCAGCACTTGAATTTCGATTGTCATCCGCCGGCCGCGGCTTGCTCTTCAGCTTGCCCTTCAGCTGTTCGAGCAGCTTCTTCTCACTCTCGCTTATAACTGGCTGCACTGTGTTCCATTGCTGCATCATGACATCGTCGCGCTTCTTCTGCTCATCGTCCTTCTCTTTCACATCATTACTGGCAGGTGTCCATTTGCCGCGCTCTACTGTATCTTTTACAGCATCCTTAATAAACGGCGGTGGCGGCGGTACCACTTGTGGCGTCGCCTCCGCTTTGTCCTGCACGGTAGCATCCTGTTTTCGCATGGCCACTCGTATTGAGGCTGCATTGGTGGGAGGCGCACCATCCGTTGTGACATGTCCTTTCTTTGGTTGCTGCACCTCATCCGCCTCATCCGACGAGGAGCTGTCCGTTGAAGTGGATGTGCTGTTCGCAGCATTCGCATTACGTTTGTGTTTCTTGCCATGCTTGTGCTTCTTTTTCTTCTTCTCACTGCTTTATTAAAGTAAAAGGGAGTTTAATAATCTTGTAATGTTAAATTAGAGTGCACGACTAGAAGATACCCTTTGCTCAGCGCCGAAATATATATATAGATATGTTATCTCATATAATAAGTTAATAGCAAAACCTGTGGACTTTGGTCAGGGTCTTTGCTTCTTCTTCACTTTGCATCACACATTGCAATTTTCATTCATGAATAACTTTGGTATCAATTATATACTTAAAGCTAAAACATAATAACGTCTAAATTTATGCATATTCAAAAATTTCTTTACTTTTTAAATTTTAGGTGGAGCTGGAGTCGTTATATATGAATGCTTTTAGAAAGAAGATGCGTTTAACAGACGGTCTTGGCAAGGAATACTCAGCTATCTGTTCTAAACAATAGTGCACATAATTCATAGATCGAAGTTGCCTTGTTTTGCGCGTTACATTTGCATAACTTCATTTTTATCTACTAATCCAGTTCTTGTCGGTACACTGCATGGTATATAAAACGATACTTACCTCTTCTTCTTACGCTTCTTTGAGGTTTTGTCTTCCTCCTTTTTGGCCTTCTTGAGCTTGGCCTCTTCGCTCTCCTTTTGCTGCTGCTGCGCGCGTTCTCGTTTGCTTAGCCACTCGCTCTCGTAGTTGGGTTGCTTTTTCATGAACAACTGCAATTGGAAATTCGTAATATTAAATGAATTAAAGCTGCCAAAATATTGTCCACTTACGTCATATCGATTGGCGTGCATGCGAGATTTAAGATGCGCAGAGGCGCAGTGCAAATCGCCAATCCAAACGCAGCACAACTTGCAGTACCAGGCACTGGCGGGCACCAGAAATTGTAGTCCACGCACGGGGACACGCTTAATAGGCGCCTTATCGAAGGTGGGATAGGGATCATGATCGATGCCCACATGCCAGGGCGTTTCCATGGTCTCCCGATTCATATGCTCTTCTGCATGCAAATGCTTTAAATAGTCGCGCGCCGTTTTTGGGAACACGCTGCAGCTCTCACACCAATGCTGTTCGGGATCGAAGAATACATAATTGTAGTTTTGGGCTTGTGGCGCAGCCGGTTTAGCCGGAGGTGCAGCCTGTCGCTGTTTGGCTTTCATTGTTTTGATTGCGCGATTCTTGAGACGATTAGTGGGACTGCCATCGCCAGTGCCGTTCTCCTCATCGCCCTCGTCCTCTGTGGATGACTCCGATGAGCTGCTCGAGGATGAGCTGGAATCCGAGCTATCAGAGCTATCGCTTGTAGTGGAGGCCGCAGAAGCAGCTGGTTGAACTAATTTAATGATTGGTGGCTCTGGCTCTTTCTTTGGCATGACCTCTGGTTCCTCGTCGGCCTCTTCGTCGCCAATGATGCCGTTCAACATATCTATGACGTTCTCTATAGTGTCCAGTTTCTTTTTGATTTGCACCTGCAAATTGAATGTTTAAAATAATTAGGAAGGGAGTCGCATGGTTTGCTGTATCCCTGACTAACCTGCAGGCGATCGTTTTCCTCAATGAAATTCTTTGTGGTTGGCGATGGTGGCGCATCGCCAGCTGTCAGATCGTTGCGTTGCTCCTTTAACACTTTCATTTCCTTCTTGAGCAGCGACACCTTCTTCACATAGTTGGTTCGTTGTTTTTTCAGCTCTTCCTTTTGATTCTCCGCCTCCTGCGCCACAGCTGCCAATTTGTTGATTTGGGTGGGAGTGAGAGAAAGAAATTAATTAATGCACATTCTCGTTAGCTGATTTAAAGTTCAAATTTCATTTACAAAATGCATTCTCGAGTGCATTTCACGGCTAGTTACACACAGTTGGCAATAAGACC